AGGGATACGTTTTTTAAAAAAAGAAATTAATAATAGTTTTTCAATCACGGCGTACTAAAAACATTCACATTATGAATATTTTTATAAGCAAAAACCTTACAATAACAGCGTAATGTTGATAAACCATACGCTGAATACGGGAATGCCGTTAGGTCTCCTTAATGGAGACTATCAGAAATGATTCTGCTTTAATATGACATGAAACGACCATTTGCCCGTTTTAAAATGGAGGCAGTATCAAGGCAATCGTTCTGGACACGTTCCCTCGATAGGGAATCGACGGACAATCGATTCTCGTTACTGTAACGATTCCCTCATGCGCGCGTTTTGTTTTATCGTTACATTCACATCACTACGGCGGCGCGCTAAGATGGAGAACTCTAGACGCCGGGGGCACATCGTCTGACTAACAATTGGCCGAGCCGTAGAAATTCCACCGGTCACGATAAGTCTGTCCTCCGCGTACGTTAATGCCGCCAATTTAAATTTTCCCAATGAACCGCCGTTGTGGGCTTTAACAACGTGCAGTTTAAAGCGGAATTTCGCTCGGCGATGCATTGATGTCGGAATATAACGCGATGTGCCGCACTGAAGCACTTTCTGCAGAATGCTTGTATGTATTTTAGCGGTTTTTGTTGTTGTCATGAGTAGAGTGTAAGAACTTTTTATATTTATACCCGTTTAACCTTAGGATAAAGTGTCTCGGTTACGAGCGACCGTACAGCTTTTACGATACATAGCGAAACAGTGCACAAAAGGTATATGATAGTAGGAGCACAGATTGAAATTATTTCAACATTAACCAGCTTGTAATATTATACGAATGTTGTAATGGTTAAAATAGCTACAATCTTTATGACGACATTTTAATATACGCAATATACAATTACTTTTAAAGACAAAAAAGAGGATACCTACATTAGAGGGAGTTCCTTTCGCCTGTTTCTTCTCCGTTAGAGTCACCTCATAACGAAACGGTGGTAGATTTAAAAAAAAGGACTATCGATAGATGAAATGTATATTTTTTACTTCGATGAATAAATGATTTCATTTGAGACATTAAAATTGTTCAAAAAGGGGAAATAAACATTATGAGAACTGAGGCTGTGAGATGGAATACGGTTTAATTAAGAATAAGTATGATCCAATCTAGGCAGAAAAATCTATGATTTATAACATTTACACACAAAATAAAATAAAGGTCAGTTATAATACATATAAATAAAAATCCTTTTTTTTATCATTTTTGTGCTGCACATTGCAATTGAAATCAAAGAGGATCCCGAAAAATACCGTAGGAAATGAATTAAGTAACTTAAGTTATAACAGTTAATTTAAACATCGTAAAGGTTTACATTGTCCGTTGGTGTTTGTTAAATATCGGTATATTTCATATTCGTTTGCTGCTCACATACACGCTCTTGTTGACATTTAGGTTAAAATTTACATACAATGCTTGAATCAAAGAAGACAAATGCTTGTCATATTTTCATTGCTACATTCATATCTACGTTGATTTTTTATCACTAGTTCCCTCAACTCATAGTTTTTCAGGACTGTGTAGGAAATTGTATTTAAAATTACTAGGTTCCCAAATGGTTTTAAGAATAACTTTATTTTTTCCACCATGGTGTAGACAGAGTGTCACGTCAATTACATTATTTAATAAAAATGTACCTAATCAAATATTCTCTAGACTACAATATATTAGGAATAAAAGTGGTTTTGTTACATATTCACCGGCGTTCATGTATAATTTTCAAATACCTGTTAATCCGAACAACATTTTATTACTCTGCGAACTAACAACAGGACATGTATAAAAAAATCGAGTGGGTATAATGAAGAGCATATAATTATTTATGGTTCAATTTCATTTAAACCTCTTAAATAAACTGGCCTCGTTGTACTTAAAACTTATTTATGATATTATAACACGAGTTGATTTTAAATCGAGTCCATAAATTATTCTTTACGCGAAGCGCTCCTAATCGATTTTCATGCTCTCGAACGGAACGTCATTACCTTTTTTTTTTTAAGTTCATCTACCGGTAGTAGGTAACGAGATGTATTATCCGGCAACTGGTTCAAATGTAACGGCGGTTCTTAGCCAAGTGACGATAATTTCATGGATCAATTTGTATTCCAGAAGGTTTTTTTTTCATTACTAATGAACATTTGAATTAACTCTAACTTTTCTTTATCAATATTAGAAAAAAAAACGTGCACAAGTTTTTGCGTACTCGAGGAATGACGTCTCAATTTTAAAATCCTGTCATTGTTTTTGTTTCTGAATATGATTCGCTTGCAGTGCAAATAGGACTCTATATTTTGATGTACCTATTTGCATGTATTTTTAAATTGCAGTCGGTAAGGAAAGGTATCAAATAAGCCCTTAATGATAAGGCATATAGGTAATGAATATTTCAATAACATAAACATGGCCTGTGTATATATAGGCTTGTGTACATTTATCGAGTAAACCAAAACCTATTTTAAAATAATAAGCCATTGTAAAACCTTTAAAGGAACACAAATTCATACACAACGCATTTTATCGATGCGCCGATCAAAAATGCGGAATCACGCGGTGCCAAGAAAGTCGTTCGGTGAATGCCAATGCGGAGTCCATAGTTTATAGTATAGACCTTATCGTAATGGTTCTCTCATACATTCCTCTCGTAAAATCTTATCAGTTGAACGAAAGGAATCCTCTTTAAATTGATATAATTACCTACTGGTATTTTTAACCAACATTGAAAAAAATAAAACAAATATAATCTTGAAATCTTCTTTTGAATGACTGTTCTTTTATTTATTTCAAAGATAAAAGAAATCAAACATTTTCATGTTGTGCCGTGTCATGATATATTTTAAATGGCAATACTCGCGATGCCCCCCATACGTAACGGCGGGCCGCGCTCACGACTCGAGTCGCAAAAAATAAAAATTTATTGTCTGCTAATGCTTTTTAATCTGTAATGGAGCCTACTTACGAAGTTTCCGTGACTCAAGCGGAGATCGTTTAGGGCTTCGCTCGGCTTTTTACCGCGACACATTACTGGCCACCGCTTCTCTCACGACTTAAAACCATTTGACACTTTTTATTGCATTCGGTTACAGCGAATTCGAGTTAAAATAGACGCACTGTGGTGTTTTTTTTAATATCGAAAAGAATTGTTACCGTTTATATTGCTATACATTAACTACTTTTTCAACTATGGTGGCACGAAGTAATTCAGTCTTCATTTTATTGTTTATGCCAAGGACAGATAAGGTTTATTTCGTTTTTTACAGTGTTGATATAGGTTCCACATTTCAAATCACAATCGGCCAGGTTCTCTTATGCTACATTAGCGCAATTCTGGTCATTTATTGAAACCGCTATAACATAGTACATTTTGGTGGACACCTAACATTTTTTGAGTTAAGAATCAAAAATCCCGAAAATTGAAATCTCTTTTTTGCTTATGGAGATTTCACACTCACTCTAGTTTCTAGCTTATAGTCACATGAGTAGCCATTAACATTCACCTAATATAATCAGTTCATTTGCTCTGCGTTTTCGAATTTTATGTAGATAATGTGTTTAAGTAATAAGAGGAAAAGAATTTTTATTTTATTGTTTCATATATCATGATTACAACAAGTTGTGGGCATTGTGAATAAAATATTCACATCTACAGACGGCAAACACAAGAGATCACATACGAGTAGTGAAATTTCTATCGTTATTATAAAGTACATTAAAAACGGTATTGACTGTTTATTCATATTTGTTACGATGAACGAATGCCTTTGCGTTTATTATTAAATAAAACTAACATTGATTAAAAATTAAGAGTGGATCACAAATAACACCGAGTAAGCCATTGGGTACTATAGTACCACGAAAATAGCAGATATTAAATTCGGTCAACTGTCCAAACTGACAAAACTGGCAAATAACAAACTTTTATTCAGAGATCCACAAGCGAATATCGACCACTGGTTTCTGTCAGTAATACAGTTTTTACAAGATTAAAACGTATACAAATTGCTCTCACTTACAGAGTTTTCTCCCTAATCCAGTTATCCCTTACTCAAGAATATAATTTAGAAAAAATTTTTCAAAGAAAACACAATGTTGCTACCAAAAAAATTTTGTATAAACAGCTTATTAACCGTTTAATCATGCCACTTTCAGTAATATTCTTTTCCGGACGAAATACCAGTTTTAATTCAATACGCATAAGCCCTTACTGGGATATGAGAAATGGCGCGAATGCCGCCATTCCGTGAGCAAAGCACCGCCAGCGGCGCGTACGGGTTCATAAAATTATGCCAATTAGTTGTTTAAGTGTCACTTGTATGTAAACGGTAATTGTCTTATGCTACACATATAACAGTCGCATCTTGCGAGTTTAAAATTCAGGTTGTCACTTTTTCTCCCAGCGAAATATTACCGGTTAAGTATCATTAAATCTTTTTTATATAACTCCTCTTTCTTATGTCCACAATATATGTATACGTATGTATTTAGTACGTATTGCTATCTTTAATTAATACGCTGTTTAAAGTTTGACTGTGCTTTCGTTAACTTTACATACGGGCAACATTTGATCGGATTATTTACATTACGATGTTACTAGTAAAATCTCAACTTGATAGGCATTCGGGCAATGTAGTTTGCGTATAAATTGCCTCATTGAAGCTAAAAATAACATCGGTCTCGATATATCTGTCTCTTTAAATCCAATGTGTATGTGCACTGAAAATGCTTATGCATTTATATAGTAACTTGCAATCAATTATATTATTAGTTTAGCAATAAATCTGTGTCCCGTTTAGGCCAAAGAATAAAAGTACGCCAATAGCTGAGAGATTTTGTGTAGATTTAAAGTCTTTTCAATTAATAAACTACAAAAAATCTGAGGATCTAGCCATAGTACTTTATTATGATGAGCTATGTAGGAATAACCGATCTATTTTGCCATTTGATTTAGTCCCAAATGCGAAAGATGAAGCATGTACACAAAGTACCAAATATGGGACTGAAATACCACAGGGTACAGAACCATGCACCGTTCCGTTCATACGGAACTTGTGTCTAGGCGAAGTATGTCAAAACAAAGCATTTAACCATTAAAATACGTTGTAACACAGTGAAAAGGTTTCCTAACAAGGATGCCAGGAGGCAGGGTTATTTTATTAGATTTTCAATCGACTTCAAAAAACCTCCTCCTTTTATGAAGTCGGTTCTCAATTCTACTGTATTTTTTTATGTTTGTTACCTCCCATATTAATTTCATTGGTATTGGATCTTGGGCTCGGAGATACTTAGCGAACTCTTAAATAATCAATTATAAAATTAATACAGAGCGAGATACTTGAAGTCGGTTTTGTTTTTCATTAATAAAAAAATATACTTGTAATCTCAAACTCCGGCTCGATATTCGAACGATATTAAAATACCAAAGCACTGTAATAAATCAGTCAATTTCAATCAGACGTCTCTATCCAATCGTAAATTTTCAATCAAAAAGGAGCGTCGAAACATCTAGAACTGGTTGTTAAGAACTGTTAACTCCCGCTAGGGGAGGTTCATTTGTAAATTAAGCGCTTTAGTACCGCCGTGTAATCACATCTACACCATTAAGGTGTGGGCATAGACAACATGTGTTAACTAGAAAACACGCCACCTTAATTCCAATCAACAAAATAAATTGGCTTTAATGAGCGATTTGAACTTTAGCTTTTAAGTGAGAAATAACAATCTTCATTAAAGTTATCCGTTTAATAAGAGAAGTTATTATTTTTTATTGCAAATTAAGTACATCCTCTCTCACTTCAAAATCAATTAACTCACTCAATGACGGTTTATATTTTATAGTCAAAACTTATAATGTAATACAGATTAGTCAAAAATCTGTTAATAAATGAAAAATTAAAGAAAATGTTTTTTTTTTCAGAATGGTTGCAGCGCGCTGCAGCGAGCAGCCGCGGATGGCCACGTGGAGGTGGTGCGTCTACTTCTGGAGCACGGAGCAGACCCCAACAAGCAGGACCTTGTGGTGAGATGAATACATGTACATTTCGCCAAATAGCGCTAATTTTTTTTTCATGTGAAAGATGGCAAACGAGCAGGCGATTCACCTGATAGTAAGGGATTACCATCCATGGACATTTGCGACATCCGCGACGTTGCAAATGCTTTGACGCATTTCAATAAAGTGGGCCCCGCGCCGGTTACTTCACTCACTAGGCGAAACGCAGAAGTATAACACACTCACGCCGGTCTTCTGCGAGGTCATGATACCGGGGCGGACCTGACCGTACGTGCAACAGCGAAGACCGCTGCGTGGCCTTACCTGGCACATTTCGACATTACTGTTTCAAGTCGACGAACCGAATTGCGTAGTGAACCTGGGCTTTACCAGTGTCTGGGTTTTTACACGTGTGTAATACGTTTTTACTAACAAAAGAAAAGTATAAATTTTAAAGTTTTTTATACTGCTATCTCTGCACTTAAGTGCATAAAAAGCAATGGCGACATCTCTCGTTCGAATTATCGTTGTAAAACGATATTCTAAATTGTTTGTATGCTGGAAAGGATATAACAATAGATGCGCCAAGCATTGCTTCAAATGCTGAATAACAATGTAGAAAGAAGGCGTTAAGATTTTCGTCGCTGTGGCTATCAGCCGTTTAGCTCAGTGGCTAGAGAGTCAGGCCGCGAATGCCGAAGACGTGGGTTCGATTCCCACAGCGGCGACAATCTTTTCGTACTTTTCCTACATGTTTTAAAGAAAAGTATGTTTATCACTTACCGTATCGTATATAGTACCCGAACAACAGACGTTGCTTAGTTTATATATATCCGTCAGCATGGCAACACCGCGGCGCACGAGGCGGCGTGGAAGGGCTACTCGCGGTGCGCGGCGCTCCTAGGCCGCGGCGGCGCAGAGCTCCGCGCGAGGAACGCCGCCGGCTTCGCGCCCCTCCACCTGGCCTGCCAGAACGGCCACAACCAGACCTGCCGCGAGCTGCTGCTAGCCGGCGCCCAGCCCGACTTGCAGAACAACGTGGGTCTTTTCTTATGTGACAAACTGGCGATTCGCCCGATGTTGACTGATAACCGCCGCCCATGGACATTTGCCACACGCGTAGGGTTGCAGATGCGTCGCCACCTTTTAGTAAAATGCCCCGTCTCTTTCCACAGACAGATGACTACGTACATGTTACATGAGTTGCATAGATAAGTTACTCTAGTTGCACTGTAAAATCATGTCTAAATAAATCTATCTATCCTATCAGAGACAAGATTTACGTTTCCATGTATTATGTTTTATTAATTTTTGTCAAAGAAAAGTCCCTTTGCTGTAACTCTTATTAACGATAATAATATATAGCCTTTTTTTCATGTCAAAAGTTGGCAAGCGAGCAGGCAGTTGACCGGATGTTGAGTAATCACCGCCGCCTATGTACATGGATCTTAAATACCTGACGGTTTGCAGATGCATTGACAAGTTTTAAAATAAGTGGACCCCGGCTAGCTCACTTACCAGACTATATATCATTTATACTTCCACTTCACGCCGGTCTTATGTGAAGCCAAGGTACTTCCCCGGATGAGCCTGCCCATTCGTGCAACAGCCGAAACTGCTGCGTGGCGCTGCCACAGTGTTAATAGCTTTTTATAAATCATATTCTTTTTATTAAAATCTTTAATATTTCCAAGTAAGCACCTATGCATTTGTTGCAAATTACCCCTTGCTTGGTAGATTACGAAAACGTCTTGAAGAAATTATAATAAAAAAATATATTCGGAAAAAGTTCGGAGTCGGTACCGGCCTAAACCTTAATACCGTCTGTCAATCTGAGGCCAAGACTCCCGATAGGACACATATATTAATAAGGTCTACTTTATTTTACTTACGTATTACTAAATCCATTTACAGTACGGTGATACGTCCCTGCACACCGCCGCGCGTTACGGCCACGCCGGCGTCACGCGCATCCTCATATCCGCCCAATGCAAAGTGTCCGAACAGAACAAAAATGGCGACACGGCACTCCACATCGCGGCCGCAATGGGCAGGCGCAAACTCACTAGAATACTGCTAGAAGCGGGCTGCGACAAGTCACTGCGGAACCACCAGGGCGAGACCGCCCGGGACATCGCCACGAGAAAAGGCTTGGAAGAGATCATCAGCATCCTGAACACGCCGGTGGCAAAGCAGACGAAGAAGAAGGACAAGCACCGAGACAAGAGCAAAGAGAGAACGATCGACGAGCCGGACGACGCGAAAAAGAAGGGCAAAGGCAAGGAAAAGAAGAAGAAAAACGTCCATTTCGAAACGACACCGCCCCCGGTGCAATGGTCGCCGTACGGGTGCCATTACTACCCCGACCCGAAATACTTCCCCAAGCCGAAACTGAGCTCCCTACCCACCGAACCGCTGAAAAAAGGCGAGCAATACTTTCTGGACTTGGCGGGAAATATTAAAAAGGGCCCCATCGGCGCCGGCTACACCTGCTACTGCGCCCCCTTCTTCAAACACATGGAGGAGAAACTGAATGAGGACAAGAAGGATTTGAAGCGCCACATAGACAAAGCCCACGAGAGGTTAGACCAAAAAGTGACGCATTTAGAAATGAAAACGCAGGGGCAAATTTCGGAACTCACCAAGTTTGTCGCCGCGGAGAGAGCACTTTGTAAAGAGAGGCATAAGCATTTGGAACAGTGGCTGACCAGAGGCATGATATTCAGGGCTTCAGAGAGAACGAGAAAACTGGACTTCAGTCCAAAAGGTTCTGTGGATATACCACCTATTAAAAGAACTAGAAGCTTAGAGCTTTTAGACGGGAACTCTGAGGAATGGAGCAAAGTTGATAGGATTATAAAAGGCTTCAACGAAAATGCCGAAGAATTTGAGAACAATGCCAAAGAATTAAATGATAGCAAGATGACATCAAAAAGCACTGAAGGTCTGGACACTAGACCGCCCGCGAGTCCCAGGAGGAGGTACATTCTCAAGAATTCCAGAAGCAGCGACCAACTAGACACCGGGATTCACATATGTGACGAGGAAAATCGTCTGCATAACGTTACAGCCGAAGTTCATGTGAAAGCTAATAAAATGGTCATGTCAGAATCACCGGTTTCTATGGAAGTGCGGGGTATTACGGAAAGATATACGGTACCCAGTGAACCATCGCCAGCTAAGTCACCTAGCAGTAGTAACCGACAATCGGACTTTAAAGCAAGCGATTCCGAAGGCGACGTTGCACTTAGAAGTACTCTTAAAGATAAACCTCAAACTCCACCAGCATGGAAAAGCCAAGTGCTCCAAAGAACGGCCGATGATATAAGAAAACGAGTAATGATCGAGAAGGATATGTCTCTAATAAGCAGAAACACTAAAGCTTTAGATATATCTCAAGACGGCTACGTAAAACTACACAAACAAGTTAACTATCCCCAAAGGGAAACGAACATGGAAAGAGAGCAAAGAAGATCCGTACAGGAATTAGTGGCTCAAGTCGAGCACCAGCAGAGATGCAAATCCCCCGAAAGACTGCCATTACCGAGGAAAACTCCCACCGACGCCCAAGAAGTTCCCGCAGTTTCGCCTAAAATTCAACCGAGCCCCGGTATACTCAAAATGCCTCAGCAACCGCAGAGGCCAGCACCTATCCTCAAAGAGAAACCACCGAAGAGCAAAAGGTTCAGTTTGCACAATCTCATACCTTTCCCGACAAGGAAAACATTTCAAACGCCGCCCAAAGAGAATGGAAACAATTCTGAGAGCAGTGACGAAGATGACACACCCATAAGGACCACAAACCAACCGGGGCCCATGAGAAATGCCAATTTGCTGCAAACCCTACCCCTACCGAACTACGAAACAATGTCCAGTAAATCCCACTCGCCGGCGCCACAACAAGCGCAACCGCAAATTAAACCTTACCACGGCGAAGAGACACGCCCCATGATCCCGAAAGACGCGTACTTCCACGAGCTTCCCAACAGGCAGATGAACCATCAAATGCCGTACAGGGACATGATAGACGGCGGCCTACCGCTACCGCTGCCCCAATACCCGTGCCAGCCCCAATACGACTACAACGAGCCGGGCCTCCCGCAGACGCAGGCGCAGACGCAGGGCCGCAACAGGAACCCGCTGCACCACCACCAGACGGGCGTGTTCGACGCGATGATGCAGGACCACATAATGAGGGAGATGGAGCGGATTCCGCACCGCTACAGCGACCGCTTGGACCAGAACACGGAGGTCGAGATCGCGAACCAGGGCGAGTTCCGCGGCTACTACGCCGAGCGGCCGCCACTCTACCCGAACTTCAGGAGCCAGCCCGCGAAGCCCCAGCCCGACCACAGTCTACTGCACAGCCGCCTGCAGTCGCTGGCGATCAACACCCATCTGTCGGAGACCCAGAGCCAAGCGGACAGGGAGTCGCACAACGACTCCGGCTACAGCACCAAGGTGTACGGCAGCTCGCAGGGCCCCTCGCCCAGCCTGTCCGGACACGTGGAGGGCTCGGACAACCTGTCCGGACGCGTGAGCATCCTCCCACCTGCCAAGGGAATCGGCCAGATGGGCACCTCGAGTTTGGTTTAGCATCTGAACATTCCAAGTGCCTTGGAGAGTGCTGGCAGCGCAAGTAGACTTTCGCGTGATGATCGACTCCTAGCCAAAGTTAGTGTTTCGTTCAAAAATTTAAGTGTTCTCACGGTTCCAAAATCTACATTACTAATTTTCAGTGACAGTGGTTTGCAAGATGTAATATTTAATACTCGTACTGAATTATAATAACTATGTTTCAATCTAAGTCAACTCTGCACATGTAGTGATCACTTCACACTTTTAAGTTTACAAAATTTATTTAATTTAAGTTTAAATGCATAATCCGCGCATAGACAAGAATAAAATGGTGATCACAGATAAAAATAAAAAAGGCGTAAAAAAATTAAAAGTACAAAGTAAAATAATGTTGCGATGTGTCAAAACATATTATTAATGTATAAATAATATTAGACCTGCCTTATTAAAATAAGTTATGTATTGTATAAAAACAATGTAAAAATGCCTTTTAACCATAAGTAAATTGTCATTTATCGATGGAGTTAACGTGTGTTTATGTTGTATTGATTTTGTATTTATTGCGTTTAACTGTGAAGTGTTTGTACTGACTCTAATTAAATGCACTTTAAGTGTCACCAAGCACAATACAAGTTATTTTTTTATTTCATTCTATTAAGGTATGAGAAGCCCATAGAGAATTAAATGCCCATAATTAAATAACCACATAGTAGCTGTGTCCCAGCTGGACACGTGGTAAAACGATCCGTGCTAAAAAAAAATTAGTAATGAAAGGCTTTTTACAAAAGAAAGTTTATTTGAGTAATTATAATACAATAGTCATACTAACATTCCTTTTTACATAATTATGTACACTTACGACTTAAGCATAAGGTAGGTTGTGGATCAATCCAAAATGAAATTACAACACGTTATAAACACGCAATTATTTAATTACACGAAGGCTATGTTTACGAGTCCCTAGATCGCAGCGCCATCTAGATGCAGCCCCATTCAAAAGTGGGGTAATTCCCATACTATTTGAATCCTGGTGAGTTGCAACACCTATGTAAAAGATAGGGTGTTCATTTTCATGCCGTGAGCGACTTTGTCTAGACTAAGTGATCTTGACTCTTGATTCACTGGGTCAAAGCGGCCCGCCCGCCCCAGCCGACGTGCCGGTAGAAGCTCGTCAGGGTGGTGTGCCGCAGGGCCACCCCGCTCAGAACCGAGGCCCTAGCGCCGGTGATCTTCACCGCCACGTAGTCGCCCACCCTCGCGGGCCTCCGCCCCCCGTCCTGCGCGTCCAGCTGCGCCTGGTCGAAGGCCACCTTCAGGTACAGCTCGTTCCTGCCCACCAGCTGGCCACTCTTGGAGACGCCCTCGACCAGCACCAGGTGCGTGCGCCCCACCTCGGCCTCGTTCAGCGCCTGGCACTTCCGCCGGTAGACCTCCAGCATCCGCCCGTGCCGCTCCCTCTTCACCGAGTCGGGCACGTCGTCCTTGTAGCGGCGGTACGCTGCGGTTTTCTGGAGGGGAACGGGTCGAGAATTATCTACATTTAAGTGCATCTCTGAGAAAGAAGTTGGGAAGAAATAAATATATTAATCTTGGCCTCTCAATATATAAATATGAAAATGTAACTTATGTACGTAGAAATATGAATAATTTTAATAAGAATACTGATTTGTATAATGCAAATACTAGGAACAAACACAAACTTGTAACGCCAGTTACTAGACTCCATAGGCACCAGAAGCACCATCGTGAGGCTGTATATCGTTTACCTTATATACCTCACCAGGCGAATTTCAAATGTATAAAAGTAACGGCCTATACATATCCCATTGCTGGGCAAAGGCCTCCTCTATTTTACAGACAGTATCAGGGCATAGTCCACCACGCAGCCCCACTGCGGATTGGCGAACTTCACATATCTTCGAAATATTTTTTTTTATTATTTCAAAAATATGCAGATTTCTCTATGTTTTTCTTCACCGTTGAGCACGTGATACAGTCAGCACTTAAAGTTAACAATTTCATTGTTGCCGGCACCGGGGATCGAACTTAGGTTGCGAGTATATTGAATTGAAAGCAAGCGCCCGGACACTGAGCTAAGCCGGCTCTTAAAAAGTCTAAAGTATAACCAATTTATATCTGCTGCTTTTTTAAACTGTTGCTTGGCTTACTTATCATCATATTGCAAAGACAATTAGACCCCCCAAATATAACAACACTCTTTATGAAATTCTAGTGTTAAATATAACACAAGAGTGATTATATGCTAAATGAATTGTGACAAACTGACACGAGAAACTGAGAGTGTGATGCATTATAATTCAATATTAGCTTTGCGTATTTTTAAGTGCCTGGCTCAACAGTTTAATTAAATTAAAAATAAAATGGACACAAATACAGACACACAAACCAATTGACAAACTGTAGCATAAAAACGTAGAACTGCAATTTGCTAAATCTAGGGAGCACATATTTAGGAGATTATTACTTAACTAACTTAATTCACTTAACAAAAAGGAAATCAGATATCCCTATAAGTTGACCATTGACAATTAGTTTCCAACTCACCTCCCTCATGCTGTAAGGGAACAGGTAAGCGATGTGATAGTCGACGGCCTCCATCAAGGACAATGTCTCCTGGAACTCTTCTTCAGTCTCACCGCAGAAGCCACAGATCATGTCCGTCGAGAAACCAACTGAGGCAACAGTAAACATTTTTTCAATTAGAATATTTTTAAAATAGATGAAACCATTGTAGTGTTAAGCTTTAAGTTCTTGGTGTTGTCTGCAACTACTCCAAAAGTTACATAACCCTTAAGTACAGTCAAACATTACATTATAACATATAGCATACTAACCCAAATTGATGGTATGTTCACTGCCTTTAAATATGCTAATATATATTTGATCTATAGAAGATTTGCAGACGGAAAAGTGCTGCAAGCAGATTAATAATTTTGACACAACCTATATAATTCAAGCAGTGAAGTCTTAGTTTCTGTATTAAGCAAATTACATGAAATTACATGCAAAAATCACTGTTCAGTGTTCAAAATCTATTTCAATTGCGATAGCAACGGTTCAATGAATGACTGAACGATAAGGGATGTATGAGCGAACGATAAGTGAATGATGACCGTACGATCAGCGAAGGATGACCGAACGGTGAGTGAATGAATGCCGAACGATGACTGACTGATGATCGAACTATAAGTGAATGAAAGCCGAACGATAAGTGAATGATGACCGTACGATAAGCGAAGAAGGACCGAACAGTGAGTATATGAATGCCGAACGATGAGTGACTGATTTTAAGTGAATGAGTGAGGTGAGGAAGGAATGACTATAGACGCACCGCCCGGGATGCGCCTCTGCGCAGCGTCGACGAGGCGCAGGTAGGCGTCGCGCGAGTAGCCGCGCCGCATCCGCTGCAGCACCGCGGTGCTGCCCGACTGCGCGGGCAGGTGCAGCAGCTTGCAGATGTTGGGCCGCTCCGATATCACCTGCAGCACCTGCACCACTCCCGGACTAAAGGAAACTTCCTACTGCGAGGGGTCGCCAAGACCTAACGTACAACCGCTTCAACGACCGTCAAGAAGTTTGCACCGCTAGATGATACACTAAAACATTATCAAGTCTAATAATATTTTAAAATAAAAAAATAAAGTTTTGTTTCCAAACAAAGTCAACATTGCAATAATGTAGAAACTAATACATACTATGTCTAATCGCATTTTTAATAAATTAGTTTCATTGATGCGAGCACTGGGATTTTAACTCAGGTTGCTCAGGTATAATGATCAATAAATTAAAAGCGAGCACCCAGACACTGAACTATCGTGGCTCTCTTACTAGTTATTACAAGCAAATGTGAAATATTCTGTAAATTGTATAAAATTATTTTATATGTTGATGAAGTAAAAATATTATTTATTGAAACTAAACAAAATACATTGTGAAAATACTAACCTCATCAGGGAAATCCTTTGGATGGGCTGCAGTAAACCTTATCCTCATCTCTGGGTCTATTGCAGACACTTTGTCCAGTAAATCCGCAAATCTAAGACCTCCTTTCTTAGTTTTGTACACAGTCTTGAAGCCTACAGAAATAAAATATGAGTAAGTACAAAAAGAATCAAAACCTTAGGATATGATCTTTACACAATTCATTTTCATTTTAGTGAGAGTATCTGCACTTGTGATAAAATTTAAGTTTGAATTTTTTCAAATAGTTTATAAGAAATTTGCTACAAACATGCCCAGAATATATAATCAACTAAGTTAATCAACCATTATTTTCACATTTCAAAAATATCGTCATCCATGTACTTTCTTTCTAGCCATAAAAAAATCACTATATAATGCTATACTATACTTTGTTTATTGTAATATGTGTATGTAATTGTTTATCAGCATAATTATAACAAATATTACAATATTTTTACCTTCAGCCAATTTTGTCTCAACAGGTTCTGTTTGCTGTGTCACGTCTCGGTAACTGTTCACATTCTGCCCTAGCAGAGTTACCTCTCGCACTCCCCTCCCTGCTAAGTGTCTCACTTCTTCCAGCAGTGAAGTGACCGGCCTTGATCGCTCACGACCTCTCGTAAATGGCACAATGCAATATGTACACATATTATCGCAACCACGCATAATTGACCTGTAAGCAATTATTACATTTCAATAATGCTTGTTTGTTTTACAAAACAAACAAATGTTAACAATTAATTTACACAAGAGGTAGCTTATCCTTTACAAATGTAGCGTCAGTTATCATTTTTTTCCTTTACAAGTAAATTTCAGTGGTCTATGGCATGTTTGGCACTGATTGTGTTCCATTGCCATTTGTAGTAAATTCAATCTCAGCGCAGGTGTCTGTCACTACAATGAATCCTTAAATTGGGTTTGTTTAAGGAATATGAGTTGATTGCTACACTTATCACCTTAGAATAAAGATTTGAGCAAGGGTAAATAACCATTACAATGAGTGGTACCATACTTGAAGACCGCTAGTTCTGCCCGTGACTTTGTCTGTGTGGTAACATTTTTACAATGAATCCTTAAATTGGGTTTGTTTAAGGAATATGAGTTGATTGCTACACTTATCACCTTAGAACAAAGATTTGAGCGAGGGTAAATAACCATTACAATGAGCGGTACCATACTTGAAGACCGCTAGTTCTGCCCGTGACTTTGTCTGTGTGGTAACATTTTTACAAATTTCGAATGCCATATTCATTTATATCTAATCAACAGCCTAAATTATAAGTTTTATGTTTCTTGTTCTGAAAATGACAACACTTTCATACAACTTTTCTTCCCCCTTTTCAGCCCTTTACAACACTTTTTTCAAAATAAAAGCTAGCCTTTGTCCTTTCTCAGGCTTTAGACTACCTGAGTACAAAATTTCATATAAGTTGCTTCTTAGCATTTATGGCATGGAAGCGAGACAGACAGACAGATAGAGTTACTTTAAAATTTATAATACTAGTATGGATTCTTTTCAAAATCCTCTAGTTAGAAAGCGAGTACCCACTCTGAATTTTTCCTGAATCAACTAGAAATAAATATTCTTTCCTAAATATAAGCTTTCTCAAATTCCCTATGAACATCAGAATCTAAAATCTGCAGTCTATATATATAAATATAAGCAATACTTACACAAATGCAGATACATTGTTCTGATTCAAACTTACTGGCATCACATCCGCATATGTCTCATCAAGGGAGAGTAGAACATTTACAGCTGTTTGGCCACTATTGGTAAGGGCTAGCAACCTAGGAAGGTCTCTATAACTATCGGGACCTGCAACTAAATACAAACCAGTTTTTATTTTAATCATTAATTAAAATTAATTAATTTGTTACATATTTACCAACATCAACAGCTTTTTCCTTTTCAATTAACTTTTCTTTCAATCGCTCTGCCATGCACCCCAATATACCAATCTTTACTGGTTTATGCTTATTCTTCGATAACGCGCGTCTTCTCTTAAATCCCCTTAAGTGATCTAGCCTGTGCCAAATCTTACTCTCGGCGCCTTCTCTGACCGCGCAAGTCATCACTAGAAATATATCGGCTTCATCTTCTATATCAGTCTTCTGAAAGCCACTCTTCTTCAAAATAGACCAGACTATTTCAGTATCGTTTAGATTCATTTGGCAACCATATACATCGAAGAAAATTTTTCGTGTTTCTTTCGTTTGCTCTTCATCTATTAAATAAGGTATTTGTGGTGGATGAACACAAGAAGGCTCCGTGACTCCCGATGACGCAAGAATAAAATCTTTTAAACCAGGGCCATTTTTTAACTTTTCATTTAATACTTTTTGAGGTTTGTTTGAGTTACACCTACAAAGATTTATGGAGTTCCGATACAGCATGAGCCGTCTAACGCGTCTAAGAAATAACATTTTAAGGTTTGAATAGTTAATAATTAAAAAGTTATTGTAGTTAATAGTTATAATTAATGATAAGGATAAGCCTATAAATTTGATCAAAATAACGTAGGTAAGTCTCTAACACAATCTGACATATGTCTTTAAGCGGAGTATACAGCTTAATCAAAATGTACTGCATAGATGATACACTTATATAGAGATGTACTGTAGACAAATAAAAATTATGTAGAACTAGAACACTGAAAAATGGAAGAAGTTTTTCGCCACCGCAGGCATCGGATAAGCGTCTTCCAGTATCACACCCAGACGCTTTGTAGATTATAAAATCACTTATTGACTTAATCTTTCAAGCTAAACATAATAATGTCCTACTGGATGCCGATTGTTAAGCTTAATGACGTCGACATGTTTACATTTCGTTTCTTAAGAAATATTAATTGTTTTCAGTGAATTTAAGTGTCACGTCATAGTTTGGCGAGTTACTTCTTAATTTCCAATTACCCTGCGCTTTAAGTGATCTAAAACGTTGAACATGCGTCTCTCGTGGTATCCGCAGCGAGTCGAATCAATAAGACACTTCAATAGAATAAATCCGTACTCCATACTAATATTATAAATACGAAAGTAACTCTATCTGTCTGTCTCGCTTTCACGCCAAAACTACTGAACCCATTTAAATGAAATTTCGTACACAGATAGTCTTGTATCTTGTATTAACTGATGTTTTTGCTTTAAGTCCCGAGACTATTAAAGCTTCTTTTGACGCAGAACCGGTGGATTAGCCAGAACCCACGGGTTTGGGCCCTCTGCTGTGGGTAGGGCAGCGCATGTGATCATGCGTGCGTTTAACTATAGTGTATCTTCTAAGGGCCATCGAGGTCGCGGTTCGGACCGAAACCCCGATGGCCGTCGACTGTGCAGTGAGCTAATCGGTGGCTGGGAGTGGTGAGAACCGCCCCGGAACGCGGGTGTACCATGTGTACGCGTTGTGTTGGTCTCGCCGTGCTCGGAGGCGAGGGCGAACTAGTGTGTTTGTTGATGCACTAACTGTAGGTGTAGTGTTATTTGGCGGGACCCCCGGCGGTGGGTCCGACGTATCTAAGCCCCCGTCCTCGACTGGGTCGATGAGGACGTTTCGCGGGCGACGCTTGTTGACGTTCAGTTTGTGTCGGGTTGGTAATTTGCTGCGCTTACCATCAGAGGGTTGGGATGATGTTCGGCTCTATCAAAGAACCGTTTGATCAGGTCTTTAAAATATTCGCGAATCGTCGGGAGTCTGCAATCGCTGTACAGGTCGACGTTGCGTTGATACCACTGCGCACCGGTTGCGCGGCGGATTAACTTATTTTGTACTATTTGCAACTTGTACAAGCGAGTAGGGTGCGTGTGAGCGAAGGTCATGCATGCATAGGACATAATAGTTCGTACGCAGATCTTATATAATAATAATTTGTGCCTTAAGGGCATTTTACTTTTAGCGTTAGTTAAATTGTATAGCCGGCCGGAGACGAACGCGGCTCTATTACGAACGTTATTAATGTGCGTAGTAAATGACATACGCGAGTCGAAAGTGACTCCTTTTTTTATGACCACCAAGAAATACGAGCAGAATTGACATACTGACAAAAAAAAATGGCGGATTTCTATAGTAAAAATCACACTATTTCATTATTTATTTTTTCGAAAACTATAAGCGACTGCCGAATTCTGCTTGTTGATAAATTCATTAGTGATTTTTCTCTATCGTTTAAAATTTATTTTAATTGAATTACGCATGAGTTAAAGTTATTTACATTTATCGTTATTTTTACTAAATATGGTATACTTAATTTTGGAAAAAGGTTTCCTTTTTCAAAGACGTCAAATATTTAAAAAAAAAAAAGAATTTCTAAAATGGTGGTCCCATTTTGACATTTCACATTGGTTTTCTTTCAGGCTCACTAGATTTTTCTTGTCTACTACTGAATAGACATTGTATTGCTCGTAGTACTTTATATGAGTGTTTCTTTTACATTTGGAACTAGAAATGTTCTTATAAGCAGCATTGAAGAGGAGAATATCAAACAAAATGAGTGATCGCTACAGCAAAGGTATTCGAATGCCATGAAATATGTTTTCGTTCCCCTTTGCTAAACCACGAAAAAACCTAAACGAATACGACTCACTAGATCTTTTAACTAAAATGTATATATTTTATTTATCTTTGCCAGTGTTTTCGCATTGGCAGGGTCGTCTCGATCCGCGCGTGATGATTCTAGGATGCTCACCGAGAGGCGGCGAACTAGATCCCGATCGCGATCTCCGAGGCGAAGGCAGTCTCCGCCAGCAGGACGGTGGGATTCGCACTCCAATGTCTCCAGAAGCCGTGACTTGAACTATCAGGGTGAATAATTATAATCATAAATAATTCCTGTTTAATATATAATACTGTTTGCAAAAGAAGTAATTGTATCCTTATTTGTGAATAAAATTGAATCTCTTAACTGTGTACACACTTTTTAGACAAGAGAGATGACCACCTAGATGACTGGGATGACTCTGATGAAGATGTGCCAACACCACCTCCGCCACCACGCATCAGCAAAATCTCTATTGGTTTCACTAAACCAAAAGCACCTATTAAGATGACTCTTGGTGGTCAAGCTAAAGCACCAGTAATTCCAAAACCTACTGTGGCATCTGTTTTTAGTACTGATGATGATGACGAGGAACCTGAAGAAATGCCAGCCGAAGCTCGCATGAGAATGCGAAATATTGGGAGGTAGAGAAAAATAATCAATAGTTTGATTAAGTTCTGAAAAGCCATCAGCAACCTCAACTCATAGTTTTATTCTGTGTTTGAATGTTAGATTTATGCATTTATACCTTACCTATTATTTGACTATCCATTAGTACACTACATAGGTGTATATGTCAGTAAAGAATGAGCTATTTTTTTGCAATATCTTTCAATACACAGGCTCCATTCTGACAACATCTACAAAAATTCACAGTTTTAAATTAATACCGAATTTTCATAGATAAGAATTCACAAACTTAAATTGTTACTAACATATACCAATCATGTCAAACCTATCGAGCCGTGATAGCTAACTGTCCGGGTGCTTGCCTTTAAATTCATATACTTGAGCAACCTTAGTTCAATACCCGGTGCCGGCACCAATGAAATTGTTAATTTTAAGTACTGAATATCACATGCTCAGTGGTCAAGAATATATTGTGAGTAAACCTGCATATTTTCAAAATAATAATTAAAAAAATATATTTTGAATATATGTGAAGTCTCTCAATCTGCAGTGGGGCAGCATGGTGGACTGATACCCTCTGTACAGAGGAGGCTTTTACCCAGCAATGAGACATGTATAGTATAGGCTGATACTTTACTTTTGTGGTATGTTAATACTTCATAAACATATTTGACAGGGAAACTCCAACATCAGCAGGCCCCAACTCCTTTGGTAAAACTAAACAAGGGTTTTGTGATGCCAAGAAGGTGTTTGAGAAGAATCTGAAGACCGCTTTAGAGTCTGTGGACAAGCCCACAATGTCTAAGCTGCCCCAGACAATATACAAGATCAAGGGCCCATGATTTAATCTCTTATTGTATTTTAGTAGTTTTTAATCCTTGTGTATTGTATGTAGCATTCTATCCATAGTCATTATGCAATATATTATTAAAGTCTTAACAGATTTCTGTTTCCCATTTTAGTATTAAATATTTCATTAGGTCATTACTGTCCTATCCAAAATTTGGAATTAATAACGAACGATATAGCAGATATGTTATACCAATCAAATAGTGGTTGATTTGGTTTTTATTGCATGGTTGGTAATCCTTCTTTTAAATTAAAAATAGGATTGTTTCTTTTTAATTAATGTTTTAATTTATGATGACTGGTGTTACATGAAACGTAGATCAATTTTATAAATAAATGATATTTAATAAAGTGAAAACTTAAGAAATTAACTCTATTACTAGATGTGTAAAGGTAGACACAGGACAAATTATATTTTGACTATCCACGAAAAGAGTTCCTCAAAAATCTGTTCTTTTCTAAACCTTCACTAGTGGAGTTGACTTGGATTTTCCAGATAAGTGTGCGCTTTGCTTCTATAATTATATATACACTATACACTTCTAGTAGGGTTCTTATAAGCAAATAATTAAAACTGAAATTACATTGTTGCACATTTTTGAAAAACCCAACATACCACTTAATAGAAAGAATATAGCCTTATTTTTATTACTCATTCGATTAAGCAGTACAATTTATTGGATATAGGGATTTGTTTACTACAAGGTTACAGTTATATTCAATGCAAATTTTTTCCTAACCATGTCTATAGTTACTTTAAAGGATGCTTGGGATTTGTTTATTAAGCCAAAATATAATAAATATGAACCAGTAAGATTGTTTTATTTTTCTCAAGTTTAAATTAACCAACTTTTGTAATAAAAGTTCTCAAACTAAAGCACCTATCAAATTGTATCATATTACCTATGATATATATTACATTTAGGATTGTGTAACATTTTCAACAACTTTAGTGAGGAACTGCGATTTATCTGTTACTTGACTCATTTTAAGTTGTACATCCGTTTTATCTGCATAATAAAAATATAGAAACTTGATATTTCTTTCGCATTTTATCGCTATCAATTATTGGGGAAACTTAGTAAAGCTTTTTCCCTTACTTGACCGTTAATCAAAGAGTAAGCGGATCGAGTGAAACTTCCATTTTTGTGCTAACGCCGCGAAAATTTTAGTTGAGGTTTGTATACATTCTTTTCGCTTCGTCAGTGTTAGCTACCTAGTTGTTTAATCGTTTCTAACTACAGTAGGTCTACAAAGTTTTCACTGAGCTTCTAGAAGAGATCTAAATTGATGTTATTGATAGGACGAGTTATTATACTTTTTCTTGGCTTCCAAGCAAGAATTTGTAAAAATAATCAGGCTTACTAAACCTAAAATCTGTTTTACGGTTTTAATAATAAAAAAAATTGTAAAAACGCCAACATAACTTAAAATTAAATAAAGAAACAAGGTATAAAATACGTTAAGATTTTCGCCGCTGCGGATAAGCCGTTTAGCTCGATGGCTAATGCTTCCAGCACGTATCCGGTATAACAAAGGTTCAATTCTCGTAACGGCGAAAACATTTTTTCCATTTTCCTTCTGTACAAATTTTTTAAATTTTGCAGATAGCACCATAAAAATTAATATTCTTTGAAGATTTTAAAATGCTTATTGATTTATTCTATTTGTTTTGTTAGATTTTTTCTAGTTTTAGTTTTTTGTGGATTATTTTACTATAGAGTTAATTTTTTTATGTGTGTATGTGACTTTTTTATTGAGTGGCAAATTATATAAGTCAGATTATCTTACAACAGTTTAACAGATTTTCTCAGGGAACTATTTTCTCTTTAATATAATGATTTATGCAAAAAAATCTGCAATTTACAGTAAAAATCTTATGTGATTGGGCAATGTTATGAAGTTTCGCCTATTGCTTGCTTTTTTATATGAATAAATTCTTGTTGAAATAATTACTCAAAAAAATAATTTTTACTTACCTATTCTAATCTAAGAATAATCTATTAATCTATTTAGACACAAGCAGCTCATCACATGCAATTTGAAGATGTTTAAACGCATATAGTATTAGCCAATAAATGAAGACAGAAATGCACATGCACAAGAATCATAAATTATTCTAAGTTGTTCATGAAAGAAAAAAACAGTGTAATTTTTAAGGTTTTTTATTAAACTTATCACTTCCTCTGTACATTCTGTGGGCGAGCCATGTCCCTAGGGAAGGTGCTCTTGGGAGGAGTACGGATGCGTCTGTCCTTCTTAGACCTGTTTCGGACCACTTTACTGTGGATGGCGCAAGACACGCAGTAGTGCAGCTTAGCATACAACTTGGGTAGTTGGAATGCTGGGGACAAGGTAAAAAAAATATATAAAACTTGTTTATACTTGGTAAGAGAAGATATTGCTTAGACATTGAATTAGGCTTGTAGTATACAAGCAGTAAAAATTTGCTTACATCCAAAATGATAAATCTCCATCTCTTTTAATTAATTCGAAGCGAATGGCATCAAACAATTTCACATGTGAACCTTAATACTTTCTGTCAATAGATAATCCAGATATTTTAGGAAAAAAAGTTAAAAATTGGGAAACACTTGTTGATGATTTAAGCTTAATTTAATTAATGTATTAAATTATCATGGTCAATACTCAAATAATATTAAATATAATGAGTTGTTTTCAAGATGATTCAAAAATTTCATAAGTCCACTACCACTACCAAAACTATAAACACAGTTAAAGCAGATCTTTTCTGTTTTTCGACCGCTGGTTCTGCTAGTTGTGAAAGAGTTTTTACAATTCGATCACTTACAAGTATAAACGGAGGCTTCATTGATATCTCTGACAGCAGCCGCCTCAACAATATTCCTGATTACAAACTTTTTGATGGCTTTGTCTTTTGGCACGCAACGGGCGCAGTTGGTGCACCTTACGGCTTTAACATGACCACGGCCGTGCTTGGCGCGTCCTCCATTGCGGCGTTTACGAGTCTGTAAAGAAAATACAAAATTGAAGCCACATGTTCAGGTGATGAAGTGGTCCGGTCATGCTTCCTTTGCTATAATATCTCGAGATTAATGTTTTGCCTTATTGGTCCGTATAATCATTGTGTTTCATTACATATTTAAAATTGTTTAAAGTTAATTTATGACTTTTTATAAATAAAATTTTACGCACCATTTTTATAACCTCCGATACGATAAACGAAGAACGACGGAAAAGAATCGGCGGGCAAAGACAAAAAAGAATGAGTCAATGAATGGAAACAGATTTCCGACTGAAACAGAAACAATTCGTTCAATCCGCGCTCCATTGAATATCTAGTAAATTATTTCTCACTGAAACAGCTAAACACAAATTTTTAATTCTTATTTAAATATCGCTCATTTTTCAATTTCTTACATATATTAATAATTTACTATTCCTTACATTATTATAAGACATCTACCGATGGCCTAAGATGTTTCGTGTCTATGATTGTCGTTCTTCCATGCATAAAATCTTTGTCCATTTTTAATAAATAATAGAATAGACAATTGTAAATTGTTTTCTATTGTCTCTGAATTATTTCTTACATTCAGTTCAATCGTTGTTTGTGTAATATTATTTTTGTTATTAAAGTAATAGCAAAAGATTCTTTAAAATTCTCTTTGTTTTAAACTTCTTGATATGTTGGATGTTGAATGTCGATTACTAAAAACGTAACAACGCATGTTCCCTCCGTCATCAAGTGCCTGTCCGACAACAGCATCTATATATTTTGTCATTATAATTTAAGTGCATATATTTACTTGGAATAGCAATGTTGCGTAGATAGTTTTCGGTGTACCGCGTGTGAAATGTCACAGCATGGATATCCAGAAAGACTGTCGAATAGATCAAAAAGTTTTCAAGAGGATGGCTCAAGTCAGCCTACAATGGAAGTCCTGGTTGAGACCCTCACGGGGACCGCGTTTGAAATGACAGTGTCGCCGTCCGATACAATATTTGCGATAAAGTCTAAAATATTCAGAGTGGAAGGTGAATATTTTTGCCATTATATTTTTCTATAACTTTATATTGATTCATACTCAGTTTGTTAGATTCGATAAAAGAATCAAGAAGAGTAAGTTAACTGATTAAAACACAAAATCGCATTATTACTAGGTAAGCAAGATTATAAAAACTACTGATTGGCAAAAGCATGTATGACTCACATGTATAACAAATCTGTCCTACAAAATGTCAAATCTTTTAAGTCAAGGAATGTTATCCTTTTAGCATACTTTTATATCGGTTTTTATAGTAATTCCTTTTTCTTTGTAATAAATCTCTGCATATTTAAGCATGAGCAAGTAATTTCAACCATAGTAATAGTCAATAATTAACAAATTCATAATGGCTTGCTGTAATTACATTTTATTATTTCATTGAAAAGTTTAGTAATTAAAGATGATAGAATATATTTTATACTTTAAATAGGTATGTACTTAAAAAACTCCAGCCTTTCAAGAGGGGTTGGCAGAAATTGTGGATTTCACTTTTCTTGTACAAATTTTTCCTCTTATCCATAATTAATTTTAATTAGTTCATTATGTAATAAAAATGTAAAATGAATTAAATTTATTTAATTTAATAAATTATTGAACTTTCTTTGATAAATATGACATAGATCCATTAGGTACGATAGAAAATAAATATGCCATTACTTTGTTTGAAAAGTTCCTTATATTTTTGATTTGTTAGTTCTAGTTTTTATGCCTGTTTGCTTGAATCTATCAAATACATATAAAGTATATTGTCATAGTAGAGTTTGCATCAAATACATAATAAATGTCAACAATTAAAATATGTAGAAAAAGTATGAAAACATTGTTGCTGACGAAAATCTTAACGTCTTTCTACGTTAAGATTTTCGTCGTTGTGGCAATCAGCCGTTTAGCTTAGTGGTTAAAGCGTCAGGCCGCGAATGCCGAAGACGTGGGTTCGATTCCCATAGGGGTGACAATCTTTTCATACTTTTTCTATATATTTTAATGTTAAATCTTAGGTGCAAAGATTAGCACTATAAACAATTTAAATTTCTAAATGTCAACAAAATCACATAAAACCTGAACTCTAATTTGAATCACAGATTTATTTTAAAATTCTATATTTGTAGTATTAATTTACTGCTTTCCATGGGTCTCTTAAAAAAAGATAAAATTTATAATCTTACGCATTCATGACAATTGATTATTATTATACATCCATGACAGCCAGTAGCTCCTGTTTGGCCACCCTCCAACCTTGTGAATCACTGAGCTGCTCTGTTACACTTGCGTTCATTATTCACTTTAGCATCTGTTGTTAGCTTGTTGCTTCACAATTGATGTAAGAAACGAAACTCAAGTATAGTATATGTATATTATATATGTATATTAATATGTGAAGCAAACATTTTGTTCCCCTTTTTACAACAATTGTGCAGATAGAGGAGTATGGAATTTTCCACACTTTACTTTATAAAGAGAAGGAGTGCAAAATGGTGATTTTTTAAAATTTTTGCATAAAAAATACATTGAATAAAATAATAATTACACTACCATGTATAATTAATTTTTGTCAAATTTTGAGTACTGGTTGATTACTAGTGAATTAAATTTGACGATTGTTTCATATTTTGTTTTTTTTCTAATGTCATGAGTTGACTCAAAAACTTTCTCTTCTCAAAGATAATGTTATAGTAATTATTAAACAAAATAATAAAAATATTATAATATATATGTAAAATATTAAAATATTATAACAAAATAATAATAAAAATATTAAAATATTATAACAAAATAATATTTCATTATATAGATTTTCTCATTATGTACATTCTTTCATTGTAATGTTCGTTTACCATATGTGATTTTACTAATACACCAATGTAGATAATGTTTTAAATGGTTACATTTGTATTTCTAATAATATAGAGTACTGAAAGTGTGAAAAAATGGACCGAAGTTAATAACCAGAAAGGGAGTATAACCTAAACTCCCATTATATGTCAATATTAATTCCACTTTGCAGGTATTCCCGTATCCCAGCAGCATTTGGTGTATAACCTCCGTGAGTTGGCTGATGGGGCTTCTCTTCGTGAGCATGGTGTGGCTGCAGGAGCGCGCCTCCGCCTCGTGCTGGCGCTCCGTGGCGGACCCGTCACAGCTAGGCGCCCTCCACCCCCAGATCGACCACCCCCCGACCGGTAAGTCGATTTTTGACCTCCTGATAGATCCTCTAGCAAGCAGTGTCTGCAGCAGGTCACCTGTGCATTAAATTGCTATAAACACCTGGACATTGGTGGTTATTGTAGCAGTTGCCTAATAATATAGTACTGTGGGAAAGTCAATCGATTTTCTTTGTTTTAATGTAAAATGAAATATTTGTACACCAGAAATGGTAGAACATAAAGGATCCACAGCTTTTAAGACCTATATTGTACTATGTTCTAACAAATAAACTATGGCACCACAAAGAAAAAGTAGCATTAAATTCGCAGTTGGGTGAAGTGGGCTCTAATCTGTTTCATTTAGTGAATGTGGTAACCAGTACCCACTAGTAGTAGATTATTTTAAATTGGGGTAAAAATCTGTAGTAATAATTTCTTAGAGCCGTCAGAATCAAGTGTGCAGGCGCTCACTTTTAATTCAACATTCTCGAGCAAACCTGGTTTAAATTCTTGTGGCAGTACCCATGAAAATGTTAATTTGAAATGCTGACTTATCACATGCTCAGTGATTAAGGAAAACTTGTCATTGTTAAAAAATAACTGCATGTTTCCGAAATATCAACAAAAGGAAATATTTCGAAGATATCTGAGGTCCGCCTACCGCCCTAATACCCTCTGTACAGGAGAGGCTTTACTCTATTATTTTGTTGGTTCATCCGCAGGGAGGAGATGGAGTGGGCCGAGGGGGTGGAGTGCGGCGGGCGGGTGCTCGAGCGGGGCGGGGGGCGTGGGCGCGGTGGGGGGCGGGGCGGGCGGGGGCGGGGGTGGCGCGGGGGGCGCGGCCGAGGGGGCGGGCAGCGGCTGCAAGGTCACCGTGCTGGTGTTCCGCGAGGGCAAGAGGGTGAACATGCTGAGGGTGCGCGAGAACCGCGACGGCACCTACTCGCCCCTGGACCAGGCCAAGTGTTAGTCACCGATAATTATTCTTAGGGGACATTTTTACACGATCACTCGGCGGCACAGTTGGTAATATATTAGCCTGAGCGTCCGGGTCCGATTAGTATTTGTGTGATGATCGCTCCAGACCTGGGTGTTTGATCCGAAGGAGGGTTGACGTGAGGCAGGCGGCCGTCGAGCGTCGTAATAAACATAGCCAATGATTGCTCCAGGGTGTTGGTTTACTAAGGAGGGTTGACGTGAGGCAGGCGGCAGGTCGTGAAAGACATAGCCAAAATAGCTTACAACATGGTTCACATGTGCCGACCTTACCTAGGTGGGGTGAGGGCAGGAGGATGATGATGATGATTTTACATAACATTTTCAAGTCAACGCTTGTACTATGGGTACTAGATAACTAATAAACATAATTAAACATACATTTTCTTTTGTATACAATAAAGGTTATACAAATGTGTGAAAGTGCAAAAGACTTCACTACCTTCTACGCCAATTGGGTCGTCAAACGTCCATATGACCCTCTCAAGCACGCATGCACTTAAGACAAAAGATTTAGATACCCCATTGTCCCAAAACAGTAAAACCCCCTGGAGCTATAGTAAAGTATAATTCTTTTAACAAAAGAATACAAAAAGAACATTTTAATTCATCTTTTCAAAGGATATTATTTAAGTGGCCCGTTATTTTATCATCAATCATTTAAAGAAATTGGTAAGTTTTTTAGTTGTATAAAATCGTAAACCCTGTATGAACTCTCCGTCCACACCACTGAGAGAATTAATCTCAAACTCCTGATACTGGTGATCGGTGATTTATTTTATTTGATTAGGCCTCAGTGACTTTGTGATTATACTTGTTTGGAAGGGGAGGCATTGGCGGATTTTTTTTTTAATGACTGGCAATAAAAACATACAAACATTGTGATTTTAGTCGATATGATCATGAGCAGTGTAGCTCAGTGGCTAGAACGTCGGAGGCTTATTCCGGGGGATGCAGGTTCAAAGTTCAGCGGCGAAATCTTTTCTTTTGACAAATTTTTAATTACATATAGGTATTTAGCTTACTCTATATATACATATACTTATACTGTATATATACATATGTATACTGTGGTAGGGCTACGCAGCAGCTTTGGCTTTATGCACGAATGGGCAGTTCGTCATCGTATATACCACGACCTCACAGAAGAACGGCGTGAAGTGGAAGTTTAATACATCCGCGTTTCGTCTGATGGGTGAGGTAGCCGGGGCCCACTTTATTAAAAGGTGTCAACGCATCTGCAACCCTCGATTGTCACCTTCTCACATAATATCCATAATTTCCCTCCGAGCTGGCCGCACCTCTGCCGCTAACGTACTGAAGGTTCACGTGCCGTCCAGGTCCAGCGACGCTGACGCAGCTGCTGGAGAGGGAGAGCGGCGGACCCCTCCACGAGAATGCCGTCACGATGGGCAAGATGATGGAGCTGCGCCGCCGCATGGAGGCGCTCGAGCTGCAGCGGCGCCGGCGCCCCAACGCCAGCGCCGCCGCCCCACTCGGTACCGCGGCTGCACCAAACCCTGCAACTTTGTAATCAAATTTGTAGAAGAAAACGAATGTCGCCGAAAACTCAAATTTTTTATAATATAAAATGATGAATTCTTAACAACACTTACACATAAAAGACTCAAATTATAGCTAACAAACATTTCAATCACGTCAGCTCTCAAACAATCGCACCATAATCGGTCGATTCGATTAGAAACGAGCCTACAATGCCACGGGCAAACGCACACATGCACAGACATAACACGTCAAACTTATAACACCATTCTTTTTCGTTGGGGCTTTAAAAAGGAAGTAATAAAAGCTTTAACAGTACCAATACACTCAGTCGTTGCATAAAGTAGCCGATATATGTTGTAATATTCTAGGCGACAAAGCGGATATACAGAAGACAAGGAGCGAGGAGACGCTGTCGGTGAGCAGCCTTCTGGACGAGCCGGCCTCGCGCTCTTACGACCCCTACGTAGAGGACGACTCGGGCCACTACGACCGCTACGACCGCTACGAGCGCTACGGGTGCTACGGGAGGGCGGACACGTGCGCCCTCCTCCCGCCGATAGGCACCCGCGCCCTCTCCAACCACTCGCTACAAGACACCGTTATGGAGAGTGACCGGTCAGTGTTTCCTCTACCCATCAAATAGGCTTGGTTCTTTTCAGTGTATTTTTTTCAATGTAACATTCAATGATACTCACTCTGCACTTACAAGTCTGCCTGCTACTGAATTTATATTTGAATAATAAAAAAAAAGATAAGTTAACAAGCTGCAGTCTTGTTATCTTATCTTTTTTTTATTATTCTCTCTTCTTTCTTTTTTTTATTGTTCTTGCTAGTTCTCTGGAAAGTACTGGTTTAGTGAACCGGTGGTAGTTTTTTTTTTGACGTTCAATACAAGCTTAAAATAAGCCTATATTGAATAAAGAAATTAGGACTTTGAATGTAAAGTAATGGCCAATGCAAAAGTTCTTTCAAAACATCAGTCCTCCTAAGGGCTTTGATATAGCAGACTTCATCAATTCCCGTGGGTATTTAAAAATATTTCTCGATGGCTACCTCACTCAGCAGACGTAGCGCATAAGTAAAATACTTCAAGCCAGTCTTTGATAGTAATTCCTTGGAGTAGCCGGCTTGTTTGTGCAATGGCAAAATCTGGTGGCTAGGTAGAAGTATTGGGTGTGACACCCCAGTACCCCTACAACTTTCATGTGCTTAAAATGGCCCCTTGGCTACTGCGAGCCTATAGCGACTTGGTCCTTGCTTGCTTTGGACTATATTGTTCTAATATAAAGTAAAATTAAGCATATTATATTTCCTGAAGTAAAGCCAAAATATAGGGATAGAAAAGAGACAACACAAATGTAATAAGATTACTATTGATAGATTTATATATTATTGGCATGCGAGTTGTCAATTATTTCTATAAGCATTTATAATATATGCTGTTAGAACATAGCTTTTCCAATGACCAGAATGTCTATGATGTAGGATGTTATATGTTCCAGTCTCGGTTTTCTATTTGATTCATAATGTAATAGTAACATTATAAGATAGTTGACCTTATGTATATACATATATGCACATATATACACAGCATATATTCTCATTTCAAATTTCATTCGAAACCCGTACACGTATGATTTTTGGCATTGATAACATTGCTATTATATAATAAAAGTTATCTAGTGTTAGTAAGCATTTATTATTCCAGATTCAAGCTACCAGACGCTTTAGCCGCACCCGATGAAGGGGAGACGCCGGCTACGAGCGCTACGCCTGCCACAACAACCGCCTACGGTAGCGTTTTCTTTATTTCAATAGCCCTTTAAAATTTTTGTAATGCTTATCATTTGCACATAAGGTGAAAAAATATAATGTGTGGAATAAAGTATGGAAAGTCTTTCGCCGCTATGGGAACCGAACCCACACCTTCTGAATTCGCGCCCAGATCCTTTATTCTAAGGTGATTGCCACACCAAAGACAATGTCTTTTAGGCACATTGTTTTTTCGAATTTTAATCAATTTTGTTCTTATCTTAGTAAAATTCTGCCTTAGTTGTTCTGCATACCCATGTGAGAGTTATATGACCTGACGCCCTGGTAAGGTACTCAATGTGTTTGGATATAAAGTCTATGGGTCCATTTTTAACTGTGGTAGGGCCACGCAACAATGTTCTCTGTTGCGCGAACGCGTCCATCTGTGTAACCGCTACCTCACAGAAGACCGGCGTGAAGTGGAAGTGTTATAATTCTGTGTATTTGTCTGGTGAGTAAGGTAGCCGGGTTGCGGGTTTTGCAATTGTCCGTGGGCAGCGGTTATCACTTAATATGGTGTGCGAGCCGACGGGTGAACCGTCGGCTCGCTTGACACCTTCTGACATAAAACAATGGTGGAAGTAAATGTTTTGTGATGAATGTGAAAAAAATTGATGACTCCGTGGCGCAATTGCCCTAAGTATTGGCTGCTGCGTCGGGGTTCGTTCCCCGTACGGGACAACTATTTGTGCGACTCATAACACATAACGTCCTTACAACACAGGATAATGTTGTCCTAAAGCGAGGGCAGTGTTCTTTAATAAAAAAAAATGTAACGAATGTCCCTCCAGGCGCGCTGGTGGGCGGCGAGGGTCGCGGCTGGCGCGCCAGGGGCTTCGGCTCCAGCTCGCAGCTGGGCGGCGCGGCGGGGGCGGGGCCGGGGGCCGGGGGCGGGGGCCGCGGGAGGGGCAGGCGGAGGCGGAGGGGGCGCCGCCAGGCCCCAGCGGGCCGCCCGCGCGCCGCCGCTCTCCGCCTCCACCTCGGACCTGGAGCAGCTCACGCGCAACAGGTGACGAGCTCGTCGTTCAAGGTCCCCCATCGACCTTTGTCGATGAATCGCGCAACGGGTGACAAGCTCGCCTTTCATAGTGCCATCAAACTTCGGCCAGGCATACCTTTGTCGGTGACAAGCCCGTCATTCATGGTCCCCTATAAGCTTTCAGATATATGCCTTTGTCAGTGACTCACGTAACAGGTGATAAGATTGTAATTTATATCACCCAACAACCTTCTGGTACATGCCTTTATAAGAGAATCGCCTTGTTACAGGTGACAAGCTTGTCATTCATGGTATTCCGTGTTAGCAGTCCACCTTATAATATGTCCCCCTACGATACGTAAACGACCTGGAAGCTTTCGTTATCAAGTAAAGTAAACCTGTGTAGGAAAAACTCTGCACAGATGGCGCTTTACCGGTATCGTGAAATTCATTCCACCTTTTTCAAGTCAGGTCGGTTATTTTAAGCTCTTATTGAACGTCAAAAACTACCACCGGTTCATTAAACTAGATCTGCAAGAGAAGAACTGGCAAAAAAAACTCTGCGGTCATATATATATATATATACAGCGTGTCGTTACCATCGCGACAATAAATGAACACACGTCTAACGCTACTTGCCAATAATCATAAAAAAATATTAACGTTAAACAAAATCCATAATTAAAAAAAAATATTTTTCAAACAAACTAATTAAGTAAAAAAGAAACAAAATTTGTAACATCCTATACAACTCGCGCCACAGCGTCGTATTACAAGCCTCTCCTTCTAACATTATTTTTTGTCTCTTTTAAATTCATTCAACCCATTCATATGCTTTGTGACCTTTACAAATGAACTTTAAGTTACGCTTTTATAGGTAAGGGTGTTCTAAAATTCTTTGTTTTGGAAAATTTCATAACTCTGTAAATATTGATGTTTAAAGAATTTAAATGTTTTAAACTTTAAAAAGTTATCCCCTATATGCGTGTTCATTTATTGTCGCGATGGTAACAACACGCTGTATTTTTTTCTTTTTTTTTAAACAAATTAAGCATATACACAAAATTACTTTAGCATAATTTAGCAGGAGCTAGGGAACTTGCAAGTGCAGAGCAAGAGTCATTTCCACACATCTTTGTCCTCAATGTATTCCTCGACATTATAATAAGCCCTTTCCATTGATGTGGCTTTTACAAAATGTTTGTAATTATTTACACTTAATTGTTTGTGGATGTCACCTATTCTATTATATAAGTTAATACATTTACCAAAAAACGATGAAACGTGAAGTGTCATCCGCAAACATAACGATTTGAGATCTTTTTTCTACCACATGGCAAATCATTTATGTAGACTAAAAACAGAAATGGGCCCAGGATCGATCCCTGAGGAACACCCATTTGTATTATTACACCCTATTGGCCCCAATGACAGTATACCATTAATATTTACTTTTTGTTCCCGATCGCTTAGATATGAGGAAACAAAATCAATGGCAGATTTTCGAATACCATAATATTCCAATGTCTTAATAAGAAGCTTATGATCAACACAGTCAAATGCCTTGGAGAGGTCACAGAACACACCAATGGTGTCATCAAACGTTTTGATGATCATTACTTATTATAACAGTATGCAATACTCCACTACGCTCCATCCATACAGCTTATTGTCAGACTTCATGTATCTTAAATTTTTTTAAATGCTATATATATATATAAAATATATATAAATATGCAGATATGTCAGCAATTTTAATGGTGCCATGACTGGGAATCAAACTCAGGTTAATTGAATATAATGAAATAAAAGCGACTAGACAACAAGCTATCACGTCTTCAAGATATAAGATTTTTAAATGTGTCATTAAATTGAAAACAATAAATATGTGCGATAATAGTATTACATTGATTTATTGTCGCAGACTTTGATAATGTGTCATACAATGTTTTATTATTTATTTTAGTTGCACAGCTAAATATATAATACTTAACACACTATCAAATGTACATAATACATACTTATAATATAAGTCCTAATGTTAGACTTTAGGAATGCGCTGCTAACAAGCTTTTTTAAGATGGTCACAATTGGGTTGACATATCCAAAAAAGGATAAATCCCCAAAACAAATTCGGATTAAAAGAAAAATGCTTTTTGAAATTATACTTCTTTAGGTGCGCTATGAAAAAATGATGAGAGTGAAGTTTTAAGATGTGCACAAAAGTCACACCTTTGAAACTACCCGCTAAACCGCTTATTATAGATGGCAGCATATTCTCAATCACATTCACCCATTATCTGATCTCAAAGAATGCAGATGGCGCTTTCACAATTTTATTATTTATGTCCTTTTCCAGTTTCTTTATTATTTTTTTGTAATTAATTATTTTGTATGCAATTAAAAACTATTTTTAATGATGCCAAAGAAGTGTAACTTCTCACGCGCGTACACGAGTACATGCGCCAGTTTTTTTTTTAAATACCGAGTGACTTCAGCCAACCTGACGTGCTGATGTTGGACTATATTATTCATACAAGCATAGAACGACTAAACAAGTATTGGATCTCAGGATGCTGCCGGCGCTGAGCCGCCACCGCAACCGCGAGCACTTGCACCTGAGCGATGAGCGGCTCGAACTGGCGCGGCACGACGTAGCTGAGGCGGGCGCTACGGTCGCTACGAGCGTTCCCGCTACGGGCGCTGCGCCTACGCCGGCTACGGGCGCTGCGCGAAGAGTGCGCTGCGGCGTGTGCCGGCGCAGGCTGAGCGCCGCTACGGAGCACCGCTGCCGCTGCGGCGCCGCCTACTGCGCGCCGCACCGCTACGCCGAGGTTCACGGATGCGCCTACGACTACAAGGCGCTACGGACGCACCGCAACTGACGCGTAGCGCCGCCGACCGTCCCGTAAATGAAAACGAAAGAAAATTCTCTATTCGCTAGTGGGTATGTAATAGGTGCAAAAATATTTTGTCTCTCGGTGTCATCACAACGTGTCGAGGAACATTTTTACCATCAAAATTCTTTATTAGCCACTATGTAATGCACCAAGATATTTTGTTCTCGGTGTCTCAGTCACTATGGGTGAGAAAACCATATTTGACCGTTCAGTTAGTTGTAATACCAGTTCCACACACTATATTTGGTTAGATTTAGACTCCACAACATTTACGCGGTTCGACCACGTGTTGCCATTAAATTATATCATCAAGGCCTTGTTTCATTTGTGACAACTTACACCAAATAAATGAATAAAATTTTGTTTATTTCTATTACTTTTTTTGGCAGTAACATATACCATTCAAATTCATTGTGACCTATAAAATTGCACGGGTCTCGCTTTGTGAAGAAAAGAGAAAGTAAAAAAAAATATTCCACCCTTTAAAAACCATGTATTTGATGACGGTAAAGCCAAGTTAAGTTTTGTTTTTAGTATTAGGAACGAGAGATAAATGGTTAGGGTAATTTCAATGATAATTAAACATATGTCTAATCCTTTTAATTTTCTAAACGAATAATAAAATATTTGTAAACAATACAACTGATTGGTGAAATGTTAATTTTTTTGCTAATTTACTTATATCTAAAGGAATATTATATTCAATAATTTCTTGTCATTTACCATGCAAGAGATATTACTATGTAATTTTTTTACCGTGTCTAACTATTTGCAATTTTTAATCTATATAATTATTTAAAATATATCATTTCATAAAATTTGTGTCTCACATTGAATGATTATTGAATTCTAATATAATGCACTCATAAATAATGCGTTATTTTGTTATTAATTATAAATTTTGTAACCAAATAAGAAATATATTTTACGACTCTTGTAATGGAACATATTTACAAAATGCAATTCTGGTATCATTGCAGTTGTTAGTCAAGTCTGCTTTAACTTCCTTTTGTTATTATTTACCTATACAAGCACTTTCTAAGAGTCATATGATTCATCGCCAGTCTTGCCTCATTGTCTTTTATCTTGCATGTGTGAGATTAGTAGTATGAGTGAATGTAAAATATAATAATTCCATTTGAGTTTAATTAATTTTTGAAAAAGGCATACTTTTACTTTATTTTTAAATTTTAGATCAATCAATTTCCTGTTTCCTGTTTGTCAAGTGAATATATTAAACTGGTTTAATATGACTAACTTCGGAGGAGTATTCGAAAGTATATCACCTATCCATGTTTTATAAAAAATAATTTTTGATTTTAATATAATTTTTAATTCAATACAGAATCTGAATCGTTTAAAATAACGTTGATTGACTTATTTAACTGGAATTTAATTGTAATTACTGTGAAAGTGTGATGCTTCACATGGCGCTGTCCTTGTTTCTTTCTTTTGTAATGTTAAGGTATTTCTAGAATGCTTCTTGAAATATAGCATGGCACTTTTAAAATCACGCGTTAGTTTGCAAAAGTATGCTGCATTAATGTCCACACACTATTCGAAGGAAGCCGTGCACCTGTTCGGAAGAATTACATCCATTTGGTACAATAATCGTCATTGTAATTTTTTATCGTCTTTCTCCCCTTTAACTAATGTAACGCTCGCTGCACTCACAGATATCCTTTCAGCTATAAAGAATTAAATTTTTTCATTTCCGAATTCCATGTCATTCAGTCATGTTAACGAGTGAATGAATTTAGTTCTAGATTAGGTTTGATTGTCATCTCTGAGTGTGGCCGTACATTTTCAAGTAGTACAGCCAAAGTGGTGTCGCGAAATCGATATGTCATCTATGTGGTATTTAATCTGTATACGATACGCCATAGATTAAACAAAATATTGCAATCTATTCGACGTGTGTGTGCGTGCATGTTTAGTTTTTTTGTCTGTTTCTTTTCCTAATGAAATATAATTGACAAAAATTTATCAAAAAAAATGTATGTATGCAATTGAATATTAATTAATACTCTAATGTACGCCGTTAGTATTTAACGAGGTTGTTTCGTGCTAGATTGTCGGAATTTTTGTATCATTGCTTTTTTTTCTTATTTCATTGTATATTTTACCGTAAAAAATAGGTTAATCGATGATTGTAACGTTTTACATTAATTTCAAAACGATTTGAGAAAAGGCATGTTGTAGATTAAAAAGAAAGTATTATTTGTGAGAAAGGCGGGAAAAATGACATTTCTCTGGTACAATGTCGTTTGTATTGAACGTTTCAGTGGATTTGTTTTTAACGTCTCATTATGTGCCCCGCTTTAAGTATCTCTGTACATCAGTTTTATATTGCTTTACTCTACGTACCTCCACTCACACACTATACTGCTATGAAAAATTTTGAGTTTCTGCATCTTTGCTATCTTTTCTCAAGCTTACTATCGACCTAACCGGCTTTGCGTGTGCGTTCAGTTGATTAATTGTAATATATTATTATGTTAATGTACAGACTTTTGTATAAAAAGCGTAATAACTCTTTGTGTAAAAAAAATATAAATAGCAACAATTTTTTTTTCAGTTTTGACTATCTTTTCCTTCTTTAATACTGACTTCCATATTTTCCATTGAATCTCGACCAAATTTATTGCTCATTTATAAATTGTTGGGAAGATTTAATATTTAAATGTTATTTGGATGTGGGAATAGTAATACTGTACACATTTGTAACTTAATGGTTAAAATGAATGTAAAAAATATATTATAGATATAGAAATGAGGCAGGAAAAAATGTTAATCTATTTTAATAACAATACTTGTGTATATATACATATATATATATTTATGAAATATTCGAAATGTAAAAATGTATGCCGTCTGGTGTTTATTAGTATTTGTATTATAATAGATTAAACGGAAAAAATACATGTATTTTAAACCCGTTGGAGGTGTATGTTTGTACATAGTGGATAAAGGTTATATGAGACATGGCTAAATTGTGTGACAACTGTACGACAACAGAAATCTAAAAATAGTTTAGGTAGCGTTCAGATTTTAGTTTGTCACAATTACCAATACAAAATTGGATTAAATTAGCATTCTGTCCGAATATATGTCTGTACCTCAGAGGCATACAATAGTAACTCAACATTTTCCAATTCTTTTTCTTACATCATTAAAATCGCAAGAAGAAATTTTACACAATACTATAAATCATTAAGTCCTACGACGCCTAATTAATAAAGTATCCAATCATATATGACATCATAATTCAATGATTATTCAATGAGATTTCCTCTCCTGTATAATGTGTTTTGTCGCATAATGCTGTTTACCTCTGGGGTACAGATTGTGCCATGTCTGGTGTCACCTTTACATTGACTTATCCGCCAGCCGAGCAGGTCGATAGTACATCGCCGTTAATTATTGCATTAGCCACCAGTTCTTTAAGTTTATAGTTAAGTTTTATTCGGTATAAATAATTCGGCTGATTTCAGGAAAAAAATAAATGTTTATAATGCGAAAGCGAAATGTCATGTCTTTTATTTTGAACCATATATTTAATTACAACTATTTGATTTTTTACAAATCATCACGTAAGGAAATATCTCCCTTTAAGCCTTTAAGTGTTTTATTTCCAATATATCATTGCATTTATATTAGCATTCCTTCATTAATTATCTATTTATATTATTTACGTAAAATATTTATTTCTTTTGTATTATTCATTTTGCATTCGCTACAATCCCACAACTTCAATTTTTTCCCATTCATTGTAGAATTATAAATAATAAAGCAGTTGTATTGATTTTTTAGTTATAACAAAGGTCCATTTTTTATTTCTATATTATAATAAGATTTGTAATAAATAAAGGATTACTTTTAAATTACAAAATATTAATGAAACAATATAAAAATATAAGTATGTATGTTTTTGATTAAATTGGTACAGCCAGTATTACTTAAAAATCCGTTTGGAAAAGTTCAATATCTTTTTCACATGTAGGTACATAAAAACACAGCATAGTGGTTTTATTTACTTTTACAGAATGTTTAATGTATTATTAGACTATCTGTGAATACTCTGTTATTATTCGGTATTCGGTATATACCGAAGATTAAATATATCTGAATATATAATCTGCCTAAGTAAGCACATTATTAAGGTTTATGTAATAGACAAATAATTTTTATAAAAAGATACTTATCTTGTAATCAATAAAGTACCCTGTATTATTTATATATTTTCTATTACAATTAAAAATATCGAGATTTTATGCACGTGATTGAATTATTGTAGTTAAATTTGGAAATACTATTGTATTATTTTTGTTTTAATCTTTGGATTATTTTGATTGCCCATGAAAAGTGATCTTATAGTCCATTGTAGTGAGAGTAGTCTTATAGTGAGACCTTACACAATCTAAAAAATTCTATAAAATGTGCTTGCTTATTCACAATATATACAAATCGCACTTGCCAGAATACTAAACAAATTGATCCTGATTAATTATATGTATTTTTATACGTTAAATGCATCATTCAACCGACTTAAAAAAGGATGTGATCCCAGTGTACGGTACATAGTAATGTATATATATATCGAGATGTCGCAGCCTGTCGGTCAGCGGCCGGAAGGTCCCAAGGCGAGGGGTCAGAAGACCTGGTCGTCGGTCTCCTTGAGCAGCGCCTCGAAGAGGGCGACGAGCCCGTCCAGGCCGCGCTTGAAGTTGAGGTCCACGGTGGGGGGCGCCTCGTCGCCGAAGGAGGCGTGCGCGAAGTCGATGAGCCGCACGGAGCCCCAGGGGTCGGGGCGGGGCCCCTCGCTGGCCAGCTGGTCCAGCTGCGCGCGGTAGTTCATGCGGATCTTGGACAGCTTGTCCTCGTAGTTGTGCTCGAACGAGTGGCTGTGCTTGAGCCGCTCCAGCGCTGCGCTCCACGGCGAGGGGGAGGAGGGCGACGGCGGCTGCTGCGGCCCCGAGCGGGGGTTGTGCGTCGAGTGGATCGACTTGCGCCGCAGCGGCCGCGGCCCGCCCGCTTCCAGCGCCGCGCTGCCGATAGGGATGTCCCGGTCAACGGACGTGTCGATATATCGATATTTATTTTTATTCCATTTAAGAGCTGGGCTCTTGTCGGTGCAGCAACCCAATAGAGTTTATAGGTTGCTGCTGTTTTAAAGTACTGTATAGTGTAGTAGTTGCTTTCCATAGCGGTATTTATAAAAGATCCGTTTGGGCCCACTCGGTTAAGCGAACGGGCAGGTCCGTCCGGTGAAGTACCACGACCTCAAAGATCGGCGTGGGGAGGAAGTATTAAAATTCCGCGATACGTCTAGCGATTGAGGTAGCCAGGGGGCCCAAGGGAGCGGGGGATTCGTAAAGACTAAAAGGTAACGGATCAGCAGCTCTACGGGTCCGAGGTCCAGGTAAGACCCAAGGTTCAGGCTAGGCACCCCGTCGGATCTGTAAAGGCCTCTAAAGCCAAGTGGCTCATCAAGCCAAAAAACCCTACGGGTGTTACAAATGTCCGTGGTCGGCGGTTATCCCTTAACATCAGGCTTTCGTCATTCTCTGCAAAAACAGAAACGAAGTAGGTACCGTTCGCCCCTCGGCGGGCAGCAGGCCCTGAGGCGCGCGGCGTCGTAGACGAGCAGCAGCGAGGAGGCCACGAGGCGCAGCGGGCGCGGCCTGGAGGCCCAGCGCTGCAGCGCCCACAGCGCGGCCAGCTGCTGCAGCACCAGCGCCCGGCACAGCCCGCCGCCCGCCGCGTTCAGGAAGTTGCGCAGCGCTACGGGCGGGCCCTTGCTCTTGGGGTTGGACTCAGCATAGGCTTCCTTAAAGCTCTCATTGAACTTTAAAGTTTTCTATAGTGCTAATCTCTGCACTTAAGATTAAAAATTAAAATTTGTAAAAAAGGTACGAAAAGATTGTCGCCGCTGTGGGAATCGAACCCACGTCTTCGGCATTCGCGGCCTAACGCTCTAGCCACTGAGCTAAACGGATGATAGCCACAGCGACCAAAATCTTAACGCCTTCTTTCTACATTGTTATTTAGCATTTGAAGCAAAGCTTGGCGCATCTATTGTTATATCCTTTCCAGCATACAAACAATTTCGAATATCGTTTTACAACAATAACTTCGAACGAGAGATGTCGCCATTGCTTATTAGAAATATAAAGTTTTTTTATAGTGCTAATCTCTGCACTGAAGCAAGCAATGGTCGAAAAATATCGTTTCTAATACGACTTTCGATACTGAATATTTTATATCGATATATTGGATCCGAATGTATGAGCTGAAAATATCGATATTTTTCCAGCATTCCGGCGCTCGCACATGTGTACATAGCGTCACGCGCCGTCGCGACCGTTTGTTGAAACGAATTTTGAGGGCACACTACTTTTGGTGCATTTGGATAAAATTATGCTGGGGTCCGCGCCTTCGCGCAAAATTAGCACCTTATTTTCGTCCAAAGGTCCTACATATCTTCATACCAAATTTCATCTGAATGGGTTCTGGTTTGGTACTGAAGGCGTAACAAACAGATAGAATTAGTTTGAAAGGCTCTTCTTTATAGATTACTTACTTTTTTATAAATCACTTACTTAATCTTTATGAATCATAGCCTATATGATATTCTAATGTATTTGCTATATTATTGTAGTTTCATTAAAACACATTCAGTAGTTTTTGCGTGAAAGAGTAACAAACATCCATACTTACCAACTTTCCCGTTTATAATACTACATGTAAAATGCGGCATCGCCCGGGCGGTCAAAGGAAATTAACAATGAGTTTTTTTTTATAATACACCAGAACAGCTCGATGATGGCAGAATTTTTACCCATTTACTTGACACTGTTATTTTTTGCATAATTCACATAATATCTTTATTAATTATAGTCTATGTGTTATTTTAATGTATTAGCTATATTATTGTAAAGTTTCATTAAAATCAATTCAGTAGTTTTTGTGTGAAAGAGTAACAAACATCCATCCATAGATATAAACTGTCGCGTTTATAATATATAATGTATAGTACCCGGAGGACCAGGCTTTGCTCGGTTTTTTTTTTTTTTTTGTAAATGGTGTATTTTGGAAATTACATTTAGATACAAATTACTGAGTAATGAAATATATATATACAGCGTGTCGTTACCATCGCGACAATAAATGAACACACATATAGGGGATAACTTTTTAAAGTTGTATTAAAAATTTAAATTCTTTAAACATCAATATTTACAGAGTTATTAAATTTTCCAAAACAAACAATTTTAGAACACCCTTACCTATAAAAGCGTAACGTAAAGTTCATTTGTAAAGGTCACAAAGCATATGAATGGGTTGAATGAATTTAAAAGAGACAAAACATACTGTTAGAAGGAGAGGCTTGTAATACGACGCTGTGGCGTGGGTTGTATAGGATGTTACAAATTTTGTTTCTTTTTTGCTTGATTAGTTTGTTTGAAAAATATTTTTTTTAATTATGGATTTTCTTTAACGTTAATATTTTTTATGATTATTGGCAAGTAGCGTTAGACGTGTGCTCATTTATTGTCGCAATGGTAACGACACGCTGTATAATATTTTTCGATCTTACCGACGTAATAATAAGAAAATATGAACTGATGTTTTTCACAAAAGAAACAACTGTAAAAAAAGGGAAAAAAATAACAAAATAACAAATGTACAAAAAATTAAAAATAAAGAAAGCAATGATCTGGAATCGAAAAAAAAGTAAAAAAAATAAATGTGTAAATGATCGTGACGCGAACCACGGCCGTCTGTCTGTTTTGGGGCCGCCCGATTACCGACCGAGCTATTTTGACATTTTCTTTTGCGGCGAAATTTACCGTCATATTCGAATTATATTTTGTATTCCCTGAAAACAGGGATAAAAGGGCATTTTCTAAAAATGAAACCTAGCTAGATCGATTTTTCGCCCCGGAATCTACGCACATCCTAAATTTCATGAAAATCGCTGGAGCCGTTTCCGAGATTCCGATTATATATATTTATGTATATATATATATATATACAAGAATTGCTCGTTTAAAGGATAAGATTATAAACGCGACAATATTTATAATATATATATATATATCGCGTATATAAGTAAGGATCGACTCACCGGCAATGACCATGTGCCCGTGCAGCTTCTTGCCGTGGTCTTTGTTGAACTTCTGCAGCTTCCCCGTCGACAGCTTGAACACCTGGTAGCCGGGGATGCAGAAGCCGAACTCCTGCTTACAGGCCCGGTACTTGCTCTCCTCGTTCTTTATCTTCTCGGCGGTGGCGGAATCGTCCCACGTTCTCTTGCCTGGTGGCAGCAACCACGCGATTACAGAACCGCTCTTTCGTGGGAATGGCATTAGGTAATTAAATGATTCTTTTGAATGACTCCATACTCACATGTATGCATGTGTGAGTACGGAGTGTTAAACCGATGCGTTATCAGTGACCTCTACCATGAGGGCTGTTATAGTTGACAATATTCAAAAATTTTATGGCCGGAAAAAGTTTCGATTCGTATTTTAATATAGGTATTTGATTCGAAATCTGATATACACCATCACCTTTCAATATTACCACACGTTTCAGTAACATGTATATTTACGTCCATATGTGTAACAAATGATACAACGTATTTCTATTACCAATCTTAACATCCATTATGCAAGGCTCCAGCATCCTCTCGGTCAGGTCTTCCAGCATTATGTACTCCTGCTCGTGGCCGTTGTACGTGAACTTCTTCACGCCGAAGTATTCTGGGGTGAACTTGCGCAGCTCCACCAGGTCGGGGTGTTTGGATGCGGCCAGGTGCTCGTAGAAGTCCACCTCGCGCCTCTGCGACTCCTTGAGGATGGGCTTCAGGATCCTGCCGTTGCTGCACTGCAGCAGACCTGTCGGAAGTGGCTTAGTGCTCTAGCTCAAAATAGTCGGGCAGTAATGTCATGCTTGATTAAGGACCCACAAGCAATGATATTATATAATAATAATAAATATTTTAAAAGACATTTTTACACAACGTTCTCTAGTTCCAAAATAAGCAACGCTTGCACTATGCGTACTACATAACTGATAAACATACTTAAACATACTTTTCTTTTGTAAATGAATACATATTATACATATATAAACACCCAGACACTAGAAAAACGTTCTTAAACATCAGCCCACTAGACCAAGGATGAGCAACGCGCGGCCCGTCATACATGTTTATGCGGCCCGCCAAGCATTTCTAAAATTGAATTTATTTTATCGAATTTCTCCCATCAATATAGTGTTATAATTATAATAAAATGGTAGTACATACTGAACCGAAATATTTTTTTATTCGTTTTTCTGTTCTTTTCTTGTTTGTTTTTACCTTGCATTAAAATTTGTATATGAAATCTTTACTTTTTTAATTTTATATTTTTTATTCTGATATTTATTATAAATAAAGTTTCGTAAATTATTATGTGCGGCCCGCCAAAAAAATTTTAAATTTAAATTGGCCCATTGATTAAAAAGGTTGCTCACCCCTGCACTAGACAATCGCGAAAACGTAATGACGTAACTATTAAATATAGAACGCACAGGATAATAAGATTAATGACAATTAGACATTATGTTACGACTTTAAATTGAATTTGCAATTCTATTTTCTTCTTCTTCTGGTTTCATTCCATTAATGTATTTTGCCTTTTACGTAATATTATTTCCCACCGCTGGATTTTACAAACTTTTTTTGTTTTACGTTGTGGAAACAAACGTAATGTGACGTTGAATATAAAACTTGAATTGGCAAGTCGCCACATGTTTAATTTAAAAGTATGCATATGCCTGTTATTGTAAATAGATTTTCTACAATTTCAACTGATATTGTATCACGCTCTGGTGTTAGATTTCGCGGATGATGCAACTATAAGCTGTTTACCTAACTTATCCATTCATATGATTTGTTCAAGAACGAAACGAAACTTGTTAGTCTTGATCAAAATAAGTAAAAGAAAAAAAATAAGTGTTTGTAGCGCGGACGCCATTCATAAAAACTGAACGTCGCGCGTTTAATCTTTTCTCGTAGCAAAAATGTTTGTGTAGCGAACAGTCCGAGAGTGACTGTACTTGTCAGTAATTTTGTGTGCCAACAGGGAGTGGGTTGGTTTAAAAGGTTGCTTCATTTATTATTGCTAACCCCTTAATTAGGATTAACACATTAATAAATATTTCGGGACATTACACAACGTTATCTACTCCCAAACTAAGAAAAGCTTGTACTATGTTTATTACTGATAAATACACTTTTTTTGTAAATAAATACATATTATCGATATATGACCCAAACACTATGTTCATCACACAAGAATTTTCCAGTAATGGGGATCGAACCCACACCCTCTGTCGCAAGAGACGGGGTCACTATCAACAACGTCAATTGGGTCGTAGACATTATGACTATTGTTGTTTTTACTTATTCATTATTGCAAACACCTTAATTAGGAATAACAAAGGGCGTAGTTGATGCCTATTGGCATTCTCTGCCAGTTGACGACCCCAGGGACGACCAGATCGCAGGGACGCGTTGGATGCAGGCCGCTAACGACCGGTCGAAGTGGAAGTCAATGGGGGAGGCCTATGTTCAGCAGTGGACGTCCTACGGCTGATATGATGATGATGATGATGATGACGACCCCACTGCAAACCCTCGGGCGTAGCAGATGTCCATGGGCGGCGGTATTCACTTAACATCAGGTCAAACGTCTGCTCGTTTGGCAACTTTTCACATAAAAAAAGCGTGACTTAGATTGGGACTAGAGAACATTGTGCAAAAATGTGTCCTAAAAATATTTATTTATTTAGTCAAATCGTTGTTTCTGGCAACTCACCTAAATACTTGGCACCGTTGGTTGTCTGGTGGCCGGCCACCTGCAGCGAGTAGGCCTGCACCTCCAGCGGGTCGGTTGGCATTGGCAACGGCTTGGCGGTCATCTCGTCACCGCTCGGCTTAAGGCCGTAATGGACCTGATAAATCGCAGTAATAGTTAGTGCCCGGCGACTGTACTTAGTACACGTATTGTTTGCGATTGATTAGAGCCGTGATCAATGCCCACTTAGGCCATATCGGGGCCCTAGGGCACACAAATTTAGGACCCTGATGGAAAGTAAAAAATGTGACTGACAAAACCATTTTTCTGCTATTATCTTATGTTTTTTATTTATTCTACAAACTTCTGTCGGAATATATCTACCAAAAATAGAGAAAAATTTCTTTAGTTTATTTATTCGAATACGTAGGTTGGCCATGCGGGGCCCCCGTGACGACAAGGGCCCTGGGCACGGGCCCTGTGTGCCCTTATGGTAACTCAATATACTCGAGCAAACTGAGTTCGAACCCCGGTGCCGGCACAAATGAAATTGTCTAATTGGATTGCCACACGATAATATACTCTATAGCGGGGTGATGATTTTTTGTTTTACGATAGATATTACTAGTTTGTAGTTTTTGCAGGAACCAAATGAATTGTTTCGTTAGTAGACACGTAATAATTATCTTAGTACACCAAATGTAGGTATATAGAGTTAAAAGGATTTTAAAATTTAAGGGACGAAAACCTACAAAGGAGACGACACATTTTGAGTTTCTTCTTGGAGAGTACTAGCACTAAAAAGTCATATGGCGCGATGCATTGCTAAACATGCAATAAAAATTAACGACATATACAGAATACAGATAGATGTCCCATTCCGCTGCGTGCTCTCGTACGGAACGGACGTCTCTCTAAGACGGAGGGCACATGCCACCCGAATTAGACGCCACTCGCAACCTCGGTTGCAATTTCAATCTTGTGCAAATAGTGCAGTAGTTTAGTGTTAGTGTAGTGTTGTGCTCGTAGGCAGGTTCCTGTTTGTAAGTAGAATCCTACACACACTTCTCGCCTCAGAGGCGGCATTGTTTCATTTATTAACTGTGTGCTTGTTGCAATAGGCGACAGCTAGGTACCCATCCTAGCGCACCTAAAGCGCAGGCAAATTTGTTGTTATTTCTAGGCACACTCCTCCCTGCCGCAAGGTGCGGAGGCTTATTTAGCTCACACACGCCGGCGGGGCTACAAGCCCCAAAGGCACTTACGTCGCGATGGGCTCCCTTTTCGAGGAGTTCGTACGCAAAGAATGCCCCGCTATGTGGGAACGTTTTCTCGCTTATGAAGCCGAGCATAGGCAATTAGCTGAACTCGCGTCGCCGCCATTGCCCGCACCGTCTGCGCCCGTTACCCCGTCGCCCTCCGCGACCTTAGAAGCTCCCTTCGCGTCGGCATCCGCTAACGCGAACTCGCCCGTAGCGCCTTCCGCGCAACCAAACCCGACCTCTTTTCGCTCCGTCGTACCCGACTCACAATCGGACGGCGGATCGGACATGGAGGTCGAAATGAACCCCGCTGAAAACGCGAACGCCGACGGCTTCACCGTCGTTAAATCGCGTAAAAAGGGCAAAAATGGCCCGCTGCCGACAGCGACCCCGAATGCGAGGCCGCCTCAACAATCCGTCCCACCGCGACGCCCGCTAAAAAGGCGGCCGCGGCGGCTAAACCGATGCCCGAATTCGCCTCCGAGCGAAAAATAAAGCCTCCTCCACCCATCATCATTCAGGAGAAGGCACAAATAAGTGGCACCAAATTTGTTCGTGGTTTGAACGCCACAATATCCGCGACCCCCGGTCGAAAAACACGCATATGGGTATCCGCGTATACCTTGACACTACGGACGACTTCCGTCGCGTAACTAAGTACTTGCGCGAAAACAAGATAGGTTTCCACACCTACTCTTTGCCCGAAGAAAGAAAACTTCGGGTAGTAATCAAGGGCGTCCCCAAAGAGTCGGATGTCGACAAGGCGAAGACCGACATCCGCACTCAGGGATACCCTGTGCATAACGTACGCCGCCTCAGGCACCCTAGAACCCGTGTTCCTATGGACATGGTGATGGTTGAACTTGACCCTACCCCGGAAGGTAGGGCCATCTTCAACTTGAAGAGGGTCTGTGGGCTCAGCGACCTCGTGATCGAGCCCCCGCGAAGATCGGGAGTTGTGGCGCAGTGCCACAACTGCCAACACTATGGCCACACGGCTAATAATTGTTTTGCTCACCCTAGGTGCGTCAAATGCACCGGTGACCACGGCACACCCGATTGTACGCGGCCAAAAGATTGCGCAGATCCACCGGACTGCGTTAACTGTCATACCACCGGCCACCCGGCTAGCTACAGGGGCTGCGCTAAGGCCCCAAAAACTCCCGCGAAATCTACTTTGCCCAAACCCACGCCCGTGAAATACGTTCCCGCGCCCGTACCCGTCGTAAACGCCTGGGCGAAACCCCAGGTGGCCGCGCAGGTAGTTGCGCCCCCGGTCGCCTCACGACCAATCGCTCAATCGCAGCCCGCCTATCAAACGGCGCCGACGCCGCAGGTGCAGTCGACACCGTCGGTTTTCGCCGAAAACAAGGACGACCCGTTCGCCCAAATTGCCAACATCTGCGCCTTATTAGACCGCATTAATAGACAATAACTCGCCATATTGTCCGCTAAAATAGCGGCCGCCACATCTGGCAACGCGCGATTTAAAGCCATTAGCGAACATAAAATGCTTGTAGAAGCCCTCTGGGCATTTACAAGCCAACCATAAACTTAATAGTCCGCGCAATAAAACCGCGCTCCGCCGCGTCGTTATTTAGAACTCATAAAAAACTTTAATGGGAAGTACAACCGCAGGTAGAACAAAACCTCGGGCTCTGGTTGTTTCGTATTTCAACGCAAACGGCATAAAGGGTCAAAGGGACGAAATCGCGGAATTCCTTCGCGATTATAACATAGATATTTTTCTAGTGCAAGAGACATTCTTAAAACCTAGTGTACGCGATCCCAGAATCGCAAACTACAACATAGTCCGCCACGACCGGTTAGCAAACCGTCTGGGAGGCACCTTAATTTATTACAAATATTCCTTGCACTGTAGCCCGCTCGACATTCCAGAGCTAAGCTATATAGAGGCATCCGCGTGTAGGTTAGCGCTCACCGGCCATAGGCCGCTTGTACTAGTCTCAGCCTACCTCTCGGGGAACAAAACCTTATTACAAAGCGACCTAGATACGCTACTTAACTTAGGCCCTTCCGTGATAATTGCAGGAGATCTAAACTGCAAACACGGCTCATGGGACATCCACAGCATCCCAAATAACAACGGAAAGCATCTCTTTAGCTTATCCGATAATTTAAACTTTAGCATAATTGCTCCTGCGACTCCCACTAGGTATCCTACGGTGGACAACTACCAACACGCGACACCGAGTATCCTAGATATCATGTTACTCAAGGAGGTCTCGCTCGACATCGAGTCGATAGAGACAATCCATGAACTAGACTCAGATCACAGGCCCGTCCTGTGTAAACTGGGCCAGAACGCCGGCGCGGTCCCTCCGACCAAATCCGTAGTGGACTGGCATCGTCTTGAGGTCAAACTCAAGGCCTTGGACCCCCAGAACTTAGTCGACCTACCCGAGACGATAGCTACGTTCGATGACGCAAATCGAGCGATAGCAAGTCTTCGAGAAACCATCACTTCCACAGTCGCAGACTCGGAACGGACGGTTAAACTGTCGGGCGATCGACGGTTTAACTTTCCGCCCGAACTGCGACTCCTAATTAGGCAGAAAAATGCAGCCAAACGCGCTTTCGACCGATACCGATCGGAATCGAACCGAACCCTACTTCGACGCCTTCAGCTAGAAGTCAAAGATCGTGTATCGGAACACCGACATACAACGTAGGACACTCTCTTATAGGACTATTATTATATATATATTCTCTATTTCTTACTCTCTCGTAGAACTTTTCTCTATGGCGCCAGAAAGTAGTGTGTAGTAGTCTACACACTACTCTCTGGCGCCATGATGCTATCACAGCTGATCACAACATCATATCGCGTCTATGTACTATGTACAACGCTTTGTTTTGTTTATTTTTTGCATGTAATTATCTTCTTTTGTTTAAATCTGATGCGCTCGAGTTTTTTAAGGATCCATTTACTAATCTGATCGACTGTCCTAGACGCACATCCCTATATTAAGGGTTCATATGTGGTGGACGTACATAACAAGGTACAAAGTTTCTTTTCTTATAATAAATTGTCGGGCTCAAGTTATGTACTTCCAAAATCCCCACTTGGGCTTCCTTACAATAGTTTTACATTGGTTGTCAGAAGAAATTAAATTTTTTTAACGGACTGAAAGCAAAAACATCAGTTAAATAAAGGAAGTAAATTAAAAATATTTCTCATATAAATATATTTAACAAAACTTTGCATGTGTTTTATTTTATGTGTTTGCCAATTATAGGTTTGTACATTACTCAATAATACTGTCGATCATATGTTTTGATATAAAGATAAGTACTAGTAATGTCATCACCAGTTTATTATTAAAAGACGATAAATAATGCAAATAAAATTTTGATATTAAAGCTGATATTAATGTCATTATTATTAATGTAATTATGATAAGTTAATGATAATGATTATTCTCATGTATTTGTAATATTTCACATTTGAAACAACACAGTCTTGAAATTAGATGATTATTTTTGGTATGTCTTAAAACTTGTTTTTTCAAAATTATAGACATACATAGATTTCGGCGATTATAGATAGGTAATGCATAAACTGGTTATCTCAAAGATTATCGTATATTTTGTTGGGATCTAACACTTTGTCTCGCCGTGCTCGGAGGTGAGGGTAATCTTAATGTGTTTGTTGCTACACTAACTGTAGATATAGTGTTATCCGGCGGGCGAAATATATGATAATTTATGTTTAAGACACTGTTCAACCAGTAAATTTTGATTTTTTGTTATTCTATTTCTAAAATGTATGTAATCAGGGCCGGATTTAGGGGAGGGCCACCGGGGCAACAGCCCCGGGGCCTCCACAAAAGAGGGGCCGCCACAATAGAGACTTCGGAAAAAAAATCATAATAACCAATAGTAAACAACTTTTCCTTTCATATTTTTTTTCGCGTTTTACTTTTACCTGCAGTACTTTGTACATACATGATTACATTAAATATTAACAGAAATCAATAGAAAATAATTTGGGGCCAAGGGTCCTCCAATCCATTGTTGCCCAGAAGCCTCCAGACCTCTAAATCCGACCCTGTATGTAATATAAGAAAATTAGTTATCGCCTCGCATTTGGCTAACATGAGATGTTTTCTTGACAGCAATGTATTTTACCACATTTACGCGAACAAATGTTTATTATCATCACTACGTAGTATAAAACAAAGTCGTCCCGCTGTCTGTGTGTCATTATGTACTCGTATGCTTAGATCTATAAAACTACGCAACGGATCTCCACGCGGTTTTTTTTACTAGATAGAGTGATTCAAGAGAAAGGTTTATATGTTTAATACAATGTATCTAGTTATTATTAAAGCTTGATTGAACGCAGAGCTCGGGAAACAGATACTAGCTAGATACGACTCTACGCGTTAGGTGGGGCCGGGAATTTGTATGCACGCTAGGTTATTCAGGAAGATGTTCCCCAGAAGCCCATAGTGCTACTGATGCCCTGATGGCCGTTGAGTATACTTTCCTTTTGGCGTACCCGATTACATATAACTTAAAACGTACCTGATATATCGACCTCATACGCCGCAAAGGCCTCCTCTCCTTAGGACGCTCGCAAACATCACTCATTTAACAAAAGTTCTGTGAACAAAGAGAAACAGAAATAACGATTTCACCGTATAGTTCGAACGCTCGATATCATTGAAGCCGATGTTGGTTAACAGTGGGTAGATTGAGAATAAATGCATACAAGTATGTCAATTTTTGTGGGAGGTACCAATAATAAAGGAATAAACAGGATAATTTTCTAAATATATCTAGAATTATATGCAATATAACTTGAACTTTTCCCTATTTTATTAAAATAAAATAAAACAAAACTTAAAAGACTGTCATTTATTGACATAATTATAACATATATATATAAATTATGTATAATATAGTCTATAAACAAAAAAATATTAAGTTGCTAAATATTAAGTGTCTACCTGTTCAAAGTCGACGAACAATTTAGTATCAAATAAACATTTACGTCGAACATAGTATATTCTTTCTTTTACGGTTGCAACCTATCATTTTAATTTATCGTCAAACTGCTTTTAACTTTAAGTTAATGTATGTTGAGGACAAAATTTAGAAAATAGATATATATTGTGAGGTTTTTCGGTTATTTTTGAAACAAGTTTGTACAGCAATTTTTTTCAGCAGTATAACTTCCGCTTTTTAACATGTTAAACGGTTATTCTGAACATGTGTCTAATACTTTCCACACACAACTCCATGTTTATTGTTCACAAACAAGGCTGTAGCTAGCCTTTAATCGTGCTTTCTTTGCGACCAAAAACACTTCTACACATTTTTTTTAATATTTCTATCGCGATTGCAGCAAAACATAAACTATAACATTGACAACGGCAGTGCGGTTGCGTAATCAAGGAGATATAAAAAATACACTACATTTGTATTACTCGTGCGTGAGACGTTATTGACGCGGGACACTAGTATCCCTCGGTTGGCACTTTTACACTGGTAACAAACAATTAGACGAATGTAACTCGAACCCGCGACCACAAATCGCTGCGTCCAGGCCTTTCGTGCAAATCGAAACGCAAGTGAAAAATAAAAAACTGCGTAACAAAAACTCCGAGGTGGAGCTTCTAATCTAATCGTGAATAAATCATTGTTAACGTTTCGCTTATCCACTGTATCTATATTATTCTCAATATATTCGTATCGCATAAAGTCGGCGCTATCTGCGCAACACCTTAACCCTGAATTTGTATTTTCCGGTCGCTCCGAGCGTCGAACGTCATTTGTCAAAATACCGCGGAAATGCCACATTTTCGCGGGCTTTTGATGCGGGAGTGATGTTTCAATTCAAAATATTATCGAAACTGAGTTATTTAAAACATTTTTCAACTCTGATATTCTCAAATAACGTAACTGTTGTATATTCATTTCTTTTATACATATTGCGAGTATTCATGGTCACGGGCACTAAAAATAAAATGAATCCCGTGTCCTGTCACCATGAAATGTTCGGGAATATAAAATCCGCAAAATTGTTTAAATTAAACATTAAACCATTGTAATTTATTCTGCATAACAGTTAAGATTAGGAAATACTTGCCATATCCATGAATTTGTAAAACTGCGTCAACTACCAAACGCGTTAATAAGTTTCTCCGCAGGCTCTCTGACAGATGGCCCCACTTTGAAACTAGGAAGATCAAGTTTTAAATATTATCAGAATAAATTTTTAAGACTTTTAAACGCTTAAATATTATATCGATAATATTTTTTTTTAATTAAATACCATTATTATCTTTTAACAGCATCATACATCTACATCTCTTTCAGCTTAATTTAATTTAGCACAAAAATTGAATTAGGTTTCTGTTATTGAGAATTTGAGCAATTAAAATTGCCAACACCTCTAGTCTAGATGGTGTAGAATTGTAAACGTTGGTTTAAAGGCGATAACATTCATAAAATATTTATATTTCACAATATGTAGTATCCGTGCAAATCAAGAAAATAAAATATTTATATTTAAAAAGCAGGCCATTAACGTGTTAATATTATTTAAATTTATTATCATCAAAAAAATCGTAAAGAAGTAGACGAAAAAAATTAACAAGGGTTGTTCGTGGTTAAGTAAAACTGTTATAATTTTATCAGTAAATATGTTTTATTCACTGATAAAATTATAACAGTTATAGTTCACGGTGGTAGGGCCACGCAGCAGCCTTGGCTGATGCACGAATGGGCAGGCCCGTCCGGGTAAGTACCACGACCTCACAGAAGACCAGCGTAAAGTGGAAGTATGACAAATACTTTCGCGTTTCGTCTGGTGAGTGAGGTAGCCGGAGCCCAATTTTCAAAAGGTTGTCAACGCATCTGTAATCCTCGGGTGTGGCAGATGTCCATGGGCGGCGGTATTCACTTAACATCAGGTGAACCGTCTGCTCGTTTGACAACTTTTCGCATAAAAAAAAAAAATTACTATGAATAGTAGGTATTCAGGTACGTACGTACAAGAAATCTTTACAGAGGTTGCTTAGTATGTATATACGCTTCGGGCAACGGTTGTCCAACCTAAAACTATCTACACAACCCAGAAACAGTTCCACGAAATCGTTAATGATGTCAGCGTTGAAAAAATTGTCAAAACGAATTGTTGACATCATTTCAAGCGATTTATCATTTTATAATCTATGCAGTTATACTAAACATTTATCAGCCCGACGTAATTCTGCATTCTTAAATAAAAATCATAGCCTGACGACCCTTTGCGCCATTAAAATGACCCAACTCGGACAGGTTCATTGGAGCTGTCAAATTTGCTGGTGACGTTGAGCACCTAGCCGTTGGGCTACGTAGTATCGAGCAATTCCTCTATGAAAATCAGGTAAACAAACTCACAGTGACCGTGTGAAGCTAGCCTCTGTTGAGCGTGTAATTTCTGTATTGACATTAAGTGTGTGGAGTCACAGACGAGATTGGCCATATATAGGTTTGAGTTCGTGTTGATTATAAAAATAAATCTAATGTTCCCGACACTTCAAGACGCCATGTACTCTCATTGCATAGATCTGAATAAAATAAATAAAAATATTGAACGGTAGCCTAGGTTAACTGCAACATTAGAAACTAAACAACCGTCTGTGCCATGACGCCGCGATCGGTTCGAAACTATAGGAATTTAAAACAGAAAAAAAAAACGCAATATATCGGTAAAATTGTTTTATTAAAGTGAAAAGAATCTTTAATATAATTATAATGGGGCTGTTTTAATTATGTTGGTAATATGCTACTTCTGCCAATTGAATAGACTTTAAAGTCAAATGTAATACATATACGTATACGACAAATTTGCTTTGCCTATGTTTAGGTTTTTCAGTTTAATATTATCTAGGTTTGATAAGTATTATTGGAAAATTTTACCAATTTACTGTCCACAAATTTATTTATTCGAGGAATTACTGCAAACTGATAACGTATTATTTTATAACTTTTAGATCATTTACAACAGGTACTTCACCTGCTTTTTGTGACCGACGCCGATTGCCTTCCACAACATTCTTAGGGTTGCCAACGCTTGAGGAAATGTGCACCGGCTATCACCCACAAAGTTCTTCAATGCGTTGCCACCTTTTAATAAAGTGAGCCCTGCCTACCTCACTCGCCAGACGAAACGCAGTAGTATACCACTTCCTCTTCACGCCGGTCTTCTGTGAGGCCATGGTACTTCCCCAGAAGCTACCACAGTTAACAAGAATGTTAGCAACAACAAAGTATTGGTGTAGGTGAATAGTGTTCAACTATAGCAACATAATACATGGTACCTTACGAACCTATATATATATAATTTTTGATGTAAAGTGGGCTCCGGCCACCTCACTCACCAGACGAAACGCGAAAGTATTATACTTCCACTTTACGCCGGTCTTCTGTGAGATCGTGGTACTTACCCGGTCGAGTCTGCCCATTCCTGCAACAGCCGAGGCTGCTTCGTGGCCCTACCACCGTGACTTGCCACCGTATTTTTGATTTGAATATTATGTTAAAACATGTAGAAAAAGTACGAAAAGATTGTCGCCACTGTAGGAATCTTCGGCATTCGCGGCCTTACGCTCTAGCCACTGAGCTAAACGGCTGATAGCCACACCGACGAAAATCTTAACGCCTTCTTTCTACGTTGTTATTTAGCATTTGAAGCAATGCTTGGCGCATCTATTGTTATATCCTTTCCAGCATACAAACAATTTCGAATATCGTTTTACAACGATAATTCTTAATTCAATCTCTGCACTTAAGATTGAATATTAAAATTGCTTCTTGGGGTCCACTGTAAACGACACAATAAATGACGTGAACATATAATAATAATAATAATAAACACTTAGGGGCACATCTTTACACGACGTTCTCTAATGGTACAACTGAAAGACATACTTAAAAATACTTTTCTTTTGTAAATAAATACATATTATACATATGTATATAAACGCCCAGGTACTGGAAAAGCACTATGTTTATTACACAATATTTTTCCAGTAGCGGGGTTCGAACCCACACCCCCGGTGCAAGATGCAGGTTCAGGTGCCTCTTTACGCCAATCGAGCCGTCAAAATCAATAGCCAATAAGATAAGATAACCTATAACTAAAAGGAAGTAAAAAGTCAGTAATTTTATTTTTTATTCATTTAAAAAAAAACAAGGAAACATTTGCCTTCCACGCATTACAGTATGATAAAATAAAAACCACGATTAATTATTTGTGAGTTCTCTGTAATTCTTTAAACAACATATACAGCGTGTCGTTACCATCGCGACAATAAATGAACTCACGTCTAACGCTACTTGCCAATGATCATAAAAAAATATTAACGTTAAATAAAATCCATAATTAAAAAAAAATATTTTTCAAACAAACTAATTAAGTAAAAAAGAAACAAAATTTGTAATATCCTATACAACTCGCGCCACAGCGTCGCATTACAAGTCTCTCCTTCTAACAGTATGTTTTGTCTCTTTTAAATTCATTCAACCCATTCATATGCTTTGTGACCTTTACAAATGAACTTTACGTTACGCTTTTATAGGTAAGGGTGTTCTAAAATTCTTTGCTTTGGAAAATTTAATAACTCTGTAAATATTGATGTTTAAAGAATTTAAATGTTTAATACAACTTTAAAAACTTATCCCCTATACGTGTGTTCATTTATTGTCGCGGTGGTAACGACACGCTGTATATCTTGTTTGACAGTGGTAGGTCCACGCAACAGTATTTATTGTTGCACAAATAAGCAGGTCTATCCAGCGAACTACCACAACCTCACAGAAAACAGAGAGGAACTGGTATACTTCTTCGTTTACCCTGGCAAGTGAGGTAGCTGAGGCCCACTTTATCAATGACAATTTAATATTACTATATAATATAGGATGAGTTAACAGCTTTCAAAACTAATAATAGTGACATATTACAATGGAGTAATAACTGAGCACTCTGAGTACAAATTCCTTCACCAAAAAATCGTAAGGTAATCCGCTTTTTTTTCGAAATAACTTACGCCTTTGTAATGTGCAGCAAAAATTGAGGACTTTGCCCAGCTGTTGGACATATGCAAGCCATTACTTTATACAAAAAACTAGTTAAAAATTGGAATAGAAATAATTAGCAAGAATGAGTTTATCAGTCGTCAACGTCTGTGTCCTGTCTCTCGACGGATGACGTATAACTGAACAGTTTGACAATTAGCTATATTTGTAAAAGCCCTCTCCGCCCTTCCTACCCACTTTCCCCTCGCTTACCAATCTGTCTAACAGATCTATCGGCCTGAACACAGAGAGGCCGGTCTTTTCCAACATTATGTTCAGGATGTATTTTTTCGTGTCCAATCCAGTGAAGTCGGCCAGTTCCAACGGGCCCATAGGAAATCCGGCGCCTAGCTTCATGGCTGTGTCAATGTCGGACGCTGTGGCATCGCCTAAAACAACGTGGTACTCAAAGCAGCAATAATTGGTCACAGTAATAGAAATCAGGAAACGAAATAATGATTGAAAAAAGTAAAAAAGGTTAACATATAAATAATAGTTCAAATGCTTTCGCTATGCCGAAAGTTTTATGGTGGATATGAACAAAAATTCACATTTTAAGTTTTAATTAACTGCGGAAACCAGCACTAAAAATAGAACTAGACATAAAAGTTATAGGTATCCAATTTCATATATTATTTATACAGAGTTCGTCCAATTTGCTATTTTAATACGGCAGTGCTATAAAACATTCTTATAAAGTTTGAGAAGTGGGAATTGCTACCATTTAATTTGCTGAATTTTTGAACACATTGAAATTTTGTGTCAAACTTTAGCACCTAATAAGTTTTCATAATTCACTTTAAATTATCACCCAATACAGATTAAAAATCATATCTTTAAAATTATGTTGTGGATTATTTTTATCGTTTAAAAATAACATAAAACTTGAGCCTGATTAGTCCATTGACTTTTGCGTATACGCTGCGGAAGAATATATAACGCAAACTTATTTTAGAGGTTCTGTTACTCTGTAGAAGTACAGACACATTTTACATACATGGCCAAGGGATAAACTAGTAATTACTAATTAGAACTATTTTCTTTATATAGCTACTACTGAACGTTTAGTACAAACACTATAATATATTAAGATGTTAATCAAACTGCGTCGCTTTCGTGTCTAGGATTGTGTGAATTTATGATTTAAAAAAATAATTAAATGTATTAAGTCCATATGAAAAGTTTAATGTTTTGTTTCATTGACTTTTTTTTATTTTGTTTGTTTGACTTTAAATTGAATATGATATGGCCTTATTAGCGCTCTCTGGCCTTTTATGATAGTGCAATGGCCTCGCGCCGAGCCGCGTAGCAAACAAAGTATTTTTGATGGATTTTACAACTGTGTTTGGGCCACGCAACAATCTTCGCTTTTGCACGAATGGGCAGGTCCGTCCGGGTAAGTACCACGTAATCACAGAAGACCGGCGAAAAGTGGGAGTGTTATACTTCTGCGTTTCATCTGGTGAGTGAGGTAGCCGCATCGCTATGACGTATATTGGAAATCCAGATCGTCACGCGAAACATTCGATCCAGTAGAGGTCACTAATGCCCTTAAGGCTCAACACTCCCTTGCTTTGTTAGCTCCATCCCTAAAGAGTCCAAGTCGACCCCCGTTTTTAGCAAACGATACAGCCAACTCAAATTTACTATATCATTTAATCCCCACATTAAAAACGTTAAGAACGCCTAAGCCAGCTAAAAGCTTTGCGTACGATCCGTAATGCTTGCTTGTATTTCGCATATATTCCCCAGAGAAATGCACTGCGATTTATTCAAGATTGAACACTCTACACACACTCAAATAATAAAACGTTTCTAAAGAGCCAAAAATCATTCACTCATTCTGATCAAGTCAGAGACTTTAGCGATCTTTTTGGCAACTCAAATAACATTTGAAAAGCCATTTGACAGCTGATTAGTTGGCTTCTACGATGATCAGTGTTTCAGAAGCCGGGCGTGAGTAAATTACCAACAGGGCCCTAACGCGACAGTTTGGAATGAACGACACGGTTGGGGAAGAGGAGGAAAGTATTTCGGATGTGGGAGGATTACTGCGGGTACACTTATTGGCGCGTAGAGTTAATACACACATAACCAATTAGTTCATTATCTCCTACGAACACGACGAAAGCAACACATTTTTTTTGATGGCTCCGTGGCGCAGTTGTCAAGGTATTGGCTTCGGCGTCGGGGGTCGTGGGTTCGATCCCCACACGGGAAAACTATTTGTACGACTCACAATATAGTTGTTTCGTATCTGGGTGTTTGTCCGCGAGAAATTTATGTTTGTAAAATGTCCTTACAACACAGGATAATGTTATCCTAAAATAAGGGCAATGTTTAAAAAAAAAAAACAAAAACAAAACAAACAAACAATGCTTCCACAAGGTATACGCAAGATCCAAGGACGGTTCCCACCGCCATCGGCAACGATTGACGTAATCAACGTACATCGACTTCATGGTTCAAACCCTGATTTTTTATGCGAGAAGTGGCATACGAGCTGATGGTTCACCTAATGTTAAGTGATAACCGCCACCCATGGACATTAGCAATACACGTAGGGTTGCAAATGCTTTAGCATCTTTAAATAAAGGGGGCCCCGGCTACCTCACTCACCAGATGAAACGCAGAAGTGTTACACTTCTACTTTACGCCGGTCTTCTGTGAGGTCGTGGTACTTACCCGGACGGACCTGCCCATTCGTGCAACAGTGAACACTGTTGCATGGCCGTACCACAGTTAAATACCCTGATGGCCTATAAGTGATATCTCCTTCACTTCTGATATATGCATGAGCACATGCATATATCAGAAGTGGAGGTTGATATTAAGCCCGTGTAATATGGCTGTTGCGCATGCTACGTTCGATGCAGCTTAATAAAAGATAATAAAGAAATATACGAGAAAACCATCCAAAGAACTTAAGAAAACGTAACTCTTCAAGGACTTAAAAGGACGAATCTTAGTATTCGGTAGGAAGAATGAAGAAGCAAAGAGCAAAAATAAATAAACACAAATAATAAATAGAGATTTATTTAAAAATATAAAATTACTTTAGCCATTTCATAACTAAATTAATGAAAATACCAATCAAAACGGTAACCGCATTCCCTCATTTATAATAGGTACTAGATTTAAGTTGGATAAATAATATAAAGAATATAAAATCTGTCATGTCCCATAAAACTCTTACCCACGCCAATTAACACTGGAATTATAAACCATTTTTTTAAAAACTGGCCAAGTTCGAGTCGGTCCCGCGCTCGATAGGTTCCGTACCATCTATGAAAACGGAAAAATATTTTTTTTCCATTTTTTTTGTCTCTTGTATGGGCAATCTTGAGCATCACTTAGAAAATGTTTTATTCTGTTTTTAGTATTTGTTGTTACAACGGCAACAGAAACACATCATTTGTGAAAATTTCAACTGTCTAAGTATCACGGTGCATGACATACAGACTGGTGACATACGAACAGACAGACAGCGTACTCTTAGTAATAGAGTCCCGTTTTACCCTTTGGGTACGGAACCCTAAAAGCCGACGCATTTGTAAAACGCCTATTTTTACGGACAGACAGGTAACGGAGTCTTAGTGACAGGGTCCCGTTGTACCCTTTAGATACGGAACCCTAAAAACGGACGCGGTTGTAACGCCTACTTCTTATACTTGTAGAACCCTTCGCCAGTCTTAATGCCCAGTTTTCCCTCCGCGACCATCTTGTCTATGAGCGGTATTGGCCTGAAGACCGGGTCTTTGGTCTTTTCGTACATTACTTCCAAGACGAACTTGTTCGTGTCCAGGCCGGTATAGTCGGCCAGTTCGAAAGGCCCCATCGGGTAGCCGGCCCCCAGCTTCATGCCGATATCGATGTCCTCTTTAGAGGCGTCTCCTGGAAGACAATTTCGCCGTAAGCTCGTTGCTACCAAAGCTGTGATATATATTCGATCGGTAGTAATTCAGCACACACACAAGCTTTGCTTAAGAAGACCAACTTATTTTATAAGCTTTATACAGGGTGGATTATCTAAGGTGGCCAAATTCACACAGGAGGTTCAGACTCGGTAGTATTTTCGTTTATTGAAATAAAAACAAGCTTTTTAAAAAAAATGCCATTCTATTCCCTAAAAAACAGAACTTTTTGACAATGCGATGCATCGTATACTTTTGAAACGTACTTGTGTGCGTGTTAATTAGGAATGATCGCGCGTAAAATAAATGAGTTGCCCATAAATCACGCACTTTTTGAGATAAGTTGAAATGAATGTAGTTAATTAATTACGAGTGATTTTAAATATTTATAATACGTTACATATTTATGTCTAGAATTTAATTAAAAAAAAAATGGATACACTTAGAGAAATCCTCCCTGTATTTTATTCACACGCTGTAGGAAATAAAATATATAGGGTATTGTGAAGTTTAAGTAAAATCAAAATCAAAATCAAATTTAAGAGAAAATCAAGTTGCGTATTTATATATTCCGCATATAAATTAGTGAATAATTTTACTTTTAAAAAAGTAATGCTTGCGTATTACACGCAAGCATTACTTTTTCACCATGCCACCAAAATAACATATAATTAGATAATAATTAGGTACTTACATAATATATTTAAAGATTAAGCAGAAAAACCACATGCACCCATAAACAGTCCCAGTAAAATATAAAAGTAATTAATAAGGCAAACAAATTATGCTGCACTTTACTTTGTTTGAAACACAACTTTACATTATTCTAAAACACATTTAAATATATGTTTTGGCAAACAATATCAAAAAACAATTAGTTGCTCATTTGACTCGACCCGCCAAATCGAAATTATCAAACCGACACCTATATACCTAAAACACCTTTTTAACAATGAACTTAACGATTATAATACCCAATACGTTAAACTATAATAATAAAAAAATATGCTACCGTCTACTTCTATAACATAGAACAATTTCCAAGTACGAAAAGCGTAGGTATTAGATTTATAGAAATTATTAGAATTGGTGCAAGCCGTGTTATTAGCATTGGTGCAAGCCATGAGTGTCGCAAAAACTCTCTAATCCCGTTACCGAAAGTTTTAATACAACAAAGTTCGTTTAAAAATCCAAGGTTCCATGTCTTTTTTTAAAAAAGATGTCATAAAATGAAAAACCGCACATAATTTCTGTACTAAAATACATTGTTTTTTTAATTAAAAAGTTAAATTGAAAATAATCTGAAAATAATCTTTTTACCTAACTCAGAACAGACGATGCGCCAACAGTTCTCGAAGAAATACGATAGCACGTGATTACATTTTTTAATTATCCTCGTAGTTACAACATAATGATGCAATTGATACGATATTTTAACTTTTTAAAATCACTTTTGTTATTATCGAAATAAATCGAAATCGATGTTTTGGATCTTTTCTTCCTGACCTTCAAATATGTGCAAAGCGTGCAAATTCCATTTATGCAGCTAAAGTAGAATGTAATTAATAATATAATATCTACTTTTCAATGTATATATTCCAGGAAATGCGGTGGCGTAATTTAGTTAATATTTAATATTAACATTGATAATAACGGTGGTAGGGCCACGAAGCAGCCTCGGCTGTTGCAGGAATGGGCAGGCTCGTCCGGGTAAGTACCACGACCTCACAGAAGACCGGCGTAAAGTGGAAGTATGGGAAATACTTTCGCGTTTCGTCTGGTGAGTGAGGTAGCCGGAGCACAATTTCCAAAAAGTTTGTCAACGCATCTGCAGACCCTCGGGTGTAGCAGATGACTATGGACGGCGGTATTCACTTAACATCACATGAACCGTCTGCTCGTTACGCAAATTTTCACGTATATATTGGCAGTATTTTTGGTCTATAATCCATACTCAATATTATAAATGCGAAAGTAACTCTGTCTGTCTCGCTTTCACTCCAAAACTACTGATCCGATTTAAATGAAATTTGGTACACAAATAGTCTAGAGCCAAGACAGAAAGGACATAGGATATTTTTTTAATTGGAAAAAAGGGTTGCAAAGGGTTGATAGATATTTATTTAAGGGCTTCAACGCGAGTGAAGCCGCTGGCGAAAAGCTGGGTATGTAACGAATTATATCATGATTGTTCAGCTTTCCAAAAGTCGATGCGCAATATTTATCGCCGAATACTGTAAGTACACAAAAGCCGTTGATATGGTACTATCTTAAACGTTTTGAAGTCTAAGGGTTTACGAGATAAGGAGTCTCTCAATATAGAGAAAATGACGATAAAATTGAATTTTACTCTAAAACGGTGTTAGTAATCATGAGCTCCTATAACATATGCTCCGCAAAAGCTTTCGAATAATACAAAAACTATAATATGTACTAATTAAATTAAGTTTTTAGGATTGTCATTTTTACTTTAAATTTTGCAGATTTTATGACGTTTATATCAGACTTTGCTAAAATGTGTACTTCGTCATATTTTACTAATTTCCTTGTGTACATTTAATTTCGTCCACTACCGTTCGTTAAATTCAAGACTATCTATTATGCCACCAGTAACTCGATTTATCACATCTTTATGTAAACGTTTTCATTAATAACTTAACTGTGGTAGGGCCACGCAACACTTTTCTCTGTTGCACGAATGGGCAGGTCCGTCCGGGTAAGTACCACGACCATACAGAAGGCCGGCGTGAAGTGGAAGTGTTACACTTTTGCGTTTCGTCTGGTAAGTGAGGTAGCCGGGGTTCACTTTATTAAAAGGCTCACTGGCTCGTTTGCCACCTTTTCAAAAACAAAAAAATCACGAGATATTAATTAAAATGCTTATCCTCTCTCTGCACTCTATAATGAAATAAGTATGTAGCAAGTATTTTTTAATGAAATTTTAGCAATTCTAAATTCATTTATTTCAAGATTTTCGTGTCGAATATCATTTAATAATAACTTATTTATAATACAGTATATCGTTGCGTAGGTATACAATTGTTTTTACTTTAAATTGTATCTTTAACCGGCAACACATGTGTATACATAACGCGCCCTCTTTCATACTACTTAAGATTCCCTTATGCCCATTTTCACCATCCCTTACTTTTAGGGACACCAAAATTTAAGTGCTAGTTTCGTTTTCACCACCGCTTAAGTATCACCACAAGACTTTATCTTAAGCGGTTGTGAAAACGAAACTTTAGGTCTCCCTCAAAGTTAGGGATCGATGTTGAAAAGGGGCATTATTGAATAAGATTCTTAGCTGTTGCAGATAGTAAAGAAGATACCGCCACCAACCAGGGCCGGATTTAGGGGAGGGAAACCGGGGCTACAGCGCCTGGGCCTCCACGAAAGAGGGGCCCCCACAATAGAAAAAAAAACAACTTCGGAAAAAAATTCAAATTCAGACTAGTAAACCAACAACAAACACTAAAATTAATTTTAGATAATTCTTGTTTCCGACTACATTTATAATATATTCGTTAAATAATCTATACTTGGTTTCACAATAAATTATTTATTGGAAAACTAGACCGAAAAAAATTGTTCATTTTATTACGAAAATAATTTGGGGCCAAGGGGCCTCCACTCCTTTGTTGCTCCGAGGCCTCCAGACCTCTAAATCCTGCCCCGCCACCAACGAATAAAGCACAGAACATGGCAGTAGCACTATAAAAAGGCATTGGTCGTGTCGACGATATGGCTTTTGAAAAGTGTTGTAGTGTTGCCATGTCACCTAGGATTCGTTGACTACAGTCTGTTAAATATAGGTTGATATGCGGGACATTGACATTGACATACAAATATGGATCTCGTATAAGTATGACGTTCCGTGTTTTTTAAACAAAAAGTGTACGTAACACAATGTGGTACTTTATTTCGTAATGTCACTGTAGTTTATTAATGTCAAATTAACTTCAATGTCACGCGTATCGTCGTATATTTAACAAAGAGTAGTAAAGCTTTGGTCGTATCATACAGTGACCACAATATGGGTCTTGAAGGAGATTTTTGTTGTGTTTTGGTCATGTAATGGCTTGGAGTTGTAGACTCTATTAAAGCGTTGGTCGTGTCACATAGTTACTACGCTAGGGGTCTCAAAGGAGACAGCTATTGTGTTTGGTTACTCGGCCAATGCCTGGAGTTACAGATTGTGGTAAAGTGTTGGTCTTATCATATATTGATGAACAGTTTTCAGACAAGGAAGAAAAATATCTTTCAGAGGGTATTAAAAAGTTACTTTTCACTATCAAATCACTGTTTTGATGGGACCACATTGAAAGATAAATTTCTGCTTATTCTCTCATATCTATATGAATACATTCAACGCCCCTCGTATATAAATGGGATAAAGTTAACGAAAAGAAGTAACAATCACCTCTTTCGTACATCCGTATAGCTTCAGCACTATAAGGCCCCAATAGTCGGTTGACCACAAAGCCGGGTGTATCCTTGCAAGTGATACATGTCTTGCCGATAGATTTGCCCCATTCCATCATTGTTTGGTAAGTGGAATCCGAAATATGATCACCTTTGATCACCTCCAAAAGTCGCATTACGGGCACTGGATTAAAGAAATGCAGTCCACCATATCTAAACCAGAAATTATTGATTCACTGTGGAAACCATTTTTATTATGGAAAAATAAAACTAATTCTAATATATCAATCTGTATTCATTTTATAATCGCTTTTCAAGAGTTTCATAAGAATCTCAAGAGCCCAATATCCAATAGCAATGAAATTAATATGGGACCACATGGGAAGCACCAGCTTTCAAATAAAAAAATAATCATCAAAATCGTTCCACTCAGTCTCAGAAAGTTCTGAGGTAACAAACATAAAAAAATACAGTCGAATTGAGAACCTCCTCCATTTTTGAACTCGATTAAAAAAGGGGGGTGTTACATCTATTAATAGTGCAATATAACAAGGTGGTATTTCTTTTTCAAACAGTAAAGAATATCTTTTGTCTGTGAACACTGTGAAGAACCTACATATTTTTGAAATAATAACAAAAAAAATTGAAGATATGTGAAGTCTGTGATACCCTTCACATTTATAGGCTGTTACTTTATATTTTACTGCGTATTTGTGAAGAAACAAAGTAAAAATTACAGGTCAGTACCATTTTAATCATAGAAAAAATCTTTTTATAAACAATAAATTTGTCTATCATTATGCGTAAGTTTACTCTCTAAAAAGCTTTGAGGAAATCTTTATATCTTATCTGATGGTTTCTTAACACTGTCTTACATCACAATTAAAAATACTTTTAACATATTTAATGAATAGAGTATTCACATTTGTTAGGTCAGAAAAGTTTTGCATTAGTTTAATTTAATATGTATAATATTTGTGTAAAATCAAGAAGCCTATAGTCAATGTCCTACTTTAAGATCTGAGAGATATTCTTTAAGTAATTACTGATTCTATGTTTCATTAGTCTTGCAAATCTTCCTTACTGGAATTACTGCAGTCTTTTAAACTGAAATTAAATACTAAAAATTTACCTGTCCTTTCTCTTAATACCTGCTCCAATTTCATTTATTGATATTGAAGAGGTGTTGGTGGCCAAAATTGTGTGCTCTGGTGCAAGCTATAAACAGTTTGTATCATATGTATGAGCATAGTAAATGCATGTACTGCACTCATGTAAAAAATTATTTAATAAAAGATAATGTATTCTACTATATAAAAAATGAAATTAACAAGAGAAATATCTAAGTTTTGATAAATTCCTTCCCTATCTTTATTTACATATTCAAATTATCGTCAGATGAAGTCTTATTTTTAGTGACATGTAATATTTTTAAACACCAAATAAAAACCTTACACTTAGTACCACTGTACTTGAAACAAACTAATATTGTAATGATAAACATTTAAATTGTTTGGAAAAAAACATACTCAAGATATTTTTGTACTTTTTGACAATAAAGTAAACAAATTAAAACTGTCAATTTCTTCATGCATAATTACCTGATCAAGCTTATTAAACAAATCCTGTTTAATATGCAATTTTTCTACAATAGCTTCTATGATTAAATCCACATTCACACCATCCTCAATATTAGTTGACACTTTAATTCTGTTTAAGGAGTCTTTTACAAAGTTTTCTGCTTTTAAAGTGTCATCTTTATACATTTTTTTCCCAACTCTTATCAAGTTCTTTTGAATAGATTGCTGTGCTTTATCCAATAATTCCGGTTTCAAATCTACTAATGTTACATTCTGTCCAGCTTGAGCTGCAACCTTTAAAAACATACATGAATATAGAAGACAGAACAAGTGACAAATAATTAATTATTAAATACCTTGTTTTAGTAATATGTTCATCTCATTATAATCATGGTATATAAGTCAATTTATGAAATGGATAATAAAAGAATAAAATAGAAATCATTCAGTTTTTCAATATAAATAAGTATCACAAATTAAAAAGTAAAAAATAATAAAAGAAATTGAAACTCACCTGGGCAATGCCAGAGCCCATAAGGCCACCACCAATAATTGTAACGGTCTTAACAGCATTTAGGGATGTAGAGCTAGAGAAGTTTCTAGTTAAACCAAGAAGTTTATTCATATTGTGAGTTTTAGTCGCCTTGTAATGTTTAAGTACTATATTACTTTTATTCTCACACTTTGCGCAGGTCAATGTATAAAGGCCGAATAATTTGATTTCTGCCGAACCGAACCGGTACGACCGAGCGAATGATATTGATAATTAGCGATAGCACGTAATAAGGTTTGAATGATAAGAATTTACTCACATGTCATAAATGAATTATGTACCGCCCGATAAGAATATCCACAGTATACACATTGTAAAAAAATATTAAGAACACTGAAGTAGTATTTATTGTTTACACACACTCACTAAACGAGTCAAAACTTAACCCGAGCCAAATAATATTTAAACATAATAAAACCGCTAGCCATCCATGCCATCAAAAATAAAGGCGCACATAATAAACATACGTTCCTGTTTAAGGGATTGTATAAAAGTGATTAGTCGTATGAAGATTGAAATTATAAATAATACAAATTATTCGAATATTCTTTGTACCTAAACGGTCTATATGTGATTTAGTTACATTTTTATTTAGATCAATCGAATATTTTTTTCGAAAACTACTTTTTTACTTATTTAAGTAAAACAAAATTACCAAAAAAAGAAGGAACGCAGTGAAAATGTTCTAAGATTGAATTAGCAATTGATGTTCGAATAGCCGGAAAAGCAGAAAAACTGTAAAGTATTTGTTTTTATACTACGAGTGTGTATTGTGTCTATTGTCAAAATTTTTTTTAGATATAGCTTCGATACCTTCTTTAATTCTGAAATCTGAAACGGAACGTAAGGTAACAAGTGTTCTAAAAAGCCAGTGAACTTTGGAATTTGTTTCATAAACTTTTTAATTTTTAGATTATGCAAACAGCCAGCGACTTGTAAAAACTAAAAATCATCAATCCGTCCGAACTAATAAATAAAAATGAATCAATTTGGTGTAATTGCCAGGCACTTTTCAAGTTCTTCGGCAGTTCAAAGTGCAATTAAAAATGTAACAGTTATCGGCGGCGGTCTGATGGGTGCGGGTATTGCCCAGGTAAATGGTCTTCCAATCAAAATATCATTACAAACGTTTCAGTTTATATGTCCTAACTATGATTACAAATTTATAAATGGTATATGGTTTTGTAGATGCAAGTAAGGGCTGACTATTCTGGTGGTTGGCTGCTTTTTTTTCTTCATTTTTTCTAATAAATTATAGATATTTCACTGCATATAGTTAACAACTACGAAATTATATGTCAAATGATTATGATAGAAAGAAAATTTGCTGCATTTACTTCTTATTTCCTGACGGTATATAATTATTAACATTTCATTTGTCTGCCCTCATAAATTCTCCTTTGTATTAACTTTAGAACATAAATATGAAGAACAATTGCAAAAATTTTACATATAGCAATGCTACATATCCATTTTCAAAACACTTGAATATTTTCAACCATAGACTAAATATCTGTGAAACAGTTTGTTGAAAAATTAAACTTGAAGTCGTTATAAATAGTTTAGCACAAAGAAACAAGAAAATATTCAAAAACCGTAGCCAATATTGAGAAGATTATATATCATACGGACTTGTGTGCATTGATTCAGTTAATAAAATGCACTACATTATTTACAGGTAGCTGCTCAAGCCGGTCAAAATGTGACTCTTGTTGATGTTAATGCGGATATTTTGGCGAAAGCTCAGAAATCCATTGGCACTAACCTTGGTCGTGTCTCAAAAAAAATTTATAAAGATAACCCTCAAGAGGCAGAAAAGTTTGTTACCGAGTCATTGAACAGGATTAAAACAGCAACAGATCCCATTAGTGCATCACAGATGGCAGACCTTGTAGTTGAAGCTATTGTTGAAAATATTGATGTAAAGCATCAATTATTCCAGAAACTTGACCAAGTAAGCATGGGCATAATCATCAGTTAGTGAAAGCAAATATTGATTGTCGCTTAAACTTGATATAACTTATTGTATTTGATGAAAAATTTTTACAGGTTGTACCAGACCATACAATTTTTGCAACAAACACATCTTCCCTCTCAGTTAATGAGATTGCATCTGTCGTTAAGAGGAAAGACAAGTAAGTTTAGATCTTAAAATATATGGGTCTTCTTAACCATAAGTATTTTAAGTTTAGACAATTTTAGTTTTTGCCATGTTTAAATGTCTAAAAATTTTATCTAATCGTCGCAAAAACTTTAATGCTGCTAGGATTCAAATCTTGCATATTGGTGAAGTTCAGATTTTAATACTAGTCATGTAATGTTAACAGATTTGGCGGTCTACATTTCTTTAACCCAGTGCCGGTTATGAAGCTCTTAGAAGTTGTCCGTGGTTCTGAAACTTCTGAAATGACATACAAGAGCATGATGGACTGGGGGAAGGCGTTGGGAAAGACTTGCATCACCTGCAAGGACACACCCGGATTTGTTGTCAACAGGCTGCTCGTACCCTATATTGCTGAATCTATTAGGCTTTTTGAAAGAGGTGAGACTTTAGTCTTTTTCTATTCATTTATTTGAGGAGGCAAGCGAGCTGGCGGTTCACTCTATGTTCTGTGATAACCGCCACCCATGGACATTTGCAACACCCATAGGGCTGCTAATGCGTTGCCACCTTTTAATAAAATGGGCCCGCTACCTCACTCACCAGGTAAAACGCAGAAGTATGACTTCTATGAGCCTGTGGTACTTCCCTGGATGGATTAAAGTCAGCAATAAGGTCAGGGTCATATTAGAGGCTTAGTTATCTATGAGTAAGATTCATGAAGCTGAAGTATATTTTTGCATATCCATTGGTGGTGATAATTAATTTGAGGTGAACTGGTAGCTAGTTTGTCACATACACCCATAAAAAACAAGATTCAAGGTTCAATTAATATTAGATCACCAGGATTATCGGATCATTTTAAGTTTATCAGAGAAACTGTTACACTGGACACTGTTTTGTTACATATTTTAAAGTGTACTATTAATTTGTGGTTTTTATTCATTCACTAGGAGATGCGTCTGCGCGTGACATTGACATCGCCATGAAGTTAGGTGCTGGGTATCCTATGGGTCCTTTAGAGTTAGCAGACTATGTGGGCCTGGATACTAACAAGTTCATCCTGGACGGCTGGCACAAAAAGTACCCAGAAGAGCAGCTGTTCAAGCCGATCCCACTTCTGAATAAATTGGTATCAGAGGGCAAACTGGGTGTGAAAACCGGCGAAGGTTTCTACAAATATGAAAAGAAATAAATAGAAATCGAGCAGTATATTTTTTTAGAAATTTACATATAAATTATATTTATATATTTTTTAAGAGTAAATGAAAGTTTATATTTATATTGTATTTTTGTTAATAAAGGAGGTTATATTTGTATAGAGTTTTTTACATTAATAGACAAGAGACGTCAGATCCTAGACGATTTATTTTCAAACACTCATTTAAAAAAAAAATCTATAACAGGTAAAGTCCTTTATAGCCAATTCTCCTGGATCATCGCTTATTACACTCTCTTTAGATGCAACCCCTACCATATTCGTTCTGAAAATGTTGCAGTATACAGTATAAATAACATAAAACATTATTAACCGTTTTGTTCATGAAACTACGGTTTATAATTTGCTAGAACTCGCCTGGTTTCTGAAACATCAAACACTAATCATTATAGAAGTCAAATGATCAGTGTTTCAGAAACGGGGCGTGATCAACGTAGAAATTGACTAACCAGTTAGGTATCAATCAAATGGCTTGTTAAATGTCATCTGAGTTTTTTTTTTGAAATTGTTTTTTTTTCAAACTGATCCAAAATCCTTAATAAAAATATACCTTATATTTGACAACTGATTTTCTCTGTCTGTCAGAAAACGGAAAAAGTACCATAATGACAAAAAACATTATTTATTATAGTATTAAAGATGTTCTCATGACGATCACACGTGAACAACACGCGAAGAAACTTCTTCCCGACCTCTGAATTTTGCCGCCCTGGGTACTAGACCCCGAGTGAGTTTAAATCCAGCGCATTAATATTATTAATTCCAACCTCGTCTATTTTTAACTAGGCTGTTTTCAAGCATATTAAATCCTAATCGGTTGAAAAAAACTATATATATTCTTTAGCATTACAAAAGAAATAACTAAAAATTTTATTTCCTGCGCCAGTACATTTTCGTGTGTGAAAAAGATATTAAATGCAATTGATAATGGTTTAATTAAATAATTGGGAATTATATATGATTTTGAATGTAGTGGAGCATTTTACGGAAAAAAATACCGTATCGAAATTTGAAGTATATACCTATATTAATCGAAACTTATTTTTAGAGACATTGTCGCATTTTTAAGCCCTATTCATATTGTTTCTGATTTCGAATATTACTTAAAATACCTAAGCTATTAAAAAATGGTTATGCTTACGACATCCATGCACAAAGCTTATTCTTGTCATGAAAAGACCTTAAAAAAAGTAAAGTATCAGCCTATACATGTCCCACTGCTGGGCAAAGGCCTCCTATGTACAGAGGGTATTCGGGCATAGTCCACCGCGCGGCCCCACTACGGATTGGGGGACTTCACATATCCTCAATATGCAGGTAAGCATCCTCATGGTGTTTTCTTTCACCGCTGAGCACGTGATAATTCAGTAACAATAACAATAATTAAAATTAACAATTTCATTGATGCCGGCACCGGGGATCGAAGTTAGGTTGCTGAATTAAAGACGAGAGCCCGGACACGGATCACGGCCTTACGGAAAAAACCTTATTGTGAATGAAATGAATACACTACGCACTTGATTCCGCTTCGTGCTCTCGTACGGAACGGACGTCTCTCTAAGACGGAGGGCTCATGCCACCCGAATTAGACGCTACTCGCAACTTCGGTTGCAAATTAAATCTTTTTGCAAGCAGTGCTGCAGTTTAGTGTTAGTGTAGTGTTGTGCTCGTAGGCAGGTTCCTGTTCTGTAAATAGAATTCTATACACACTTCTCGCCTCAGAGGCGGCATTGTTTTATTTAATAACTGTGTGCTTGTTGCGATAGGCGACAGCTAGGTACCCACCCTAGCGCACCTAAAGCGCAGGTGAAATAGTTGTTAGTTTTAGGCACACAACTCCCTGCCGCAAGGTGGGGAGGCCTATTTAGAAACTACACGCCGGCGGGGCGCAAGCCCCAAAGGTTCAAGCGCCGTTATGGGTTCCCTCTTAGAGGAATTCATTCGCGAACGATGCCCCGAAATGTGGCGCAGCTTGCTCGCCTTTGCCGCGGAGAAACGCCGCGTCGTCGAATACGCTAGCGACAACCCGGCTTCACCGGCAGTCGCCTCGCCGCCATCTCCGGTGCCCTCTGCGCCAGCTAATGAGTCGCCTTCTGCGACACTAGTAACGCCCGTCGCGAACCCAACGCGCCTTCCGCGCAACCAATTTCGGCCCCCTTCCGCGATGTCGTTCCCGACTCACAATCGGACGGCGGCTCGGACATGGAGGTCGAAACGACCCCCGCTGATAACGCGAACGCCGACGGCTTCACCGTCGTAAAGTCGCGCAAAAAGGGCAAAAAACGCCCCGCAACTGACAGCGACCCCGAATGCGAGGCTGCCCCATCTAACCGTACCACAGCAACGCCCGCCAAAAAGGCAGCCGCGGCTGCCCAATTGGTACCCGAATTCGCCTCCGAGCGAAAAATTAAGCCACCGCCGCCAATAATTATTCAAGAAAAGGCAAAGTGGCATCAAGTATGCTCGTGGTTTGAACGCCACAACATCCGCGACCTCCGGTCAAAAAATACACACATGGGTATCCGCGTATACCTGGAAACAACAGACGATTTCCGCCACGTAAGCAAGTATTTACGAAAAAATAAGGTAGGTTTTCACACCTACTCGTTGCCCGAAGAGCGTAAACTTCGGGTAGTAATAAAGGGCGTCCCCAAAGAGTCGGATGTTGATAAGGCTAAAGTCGACATCCGCACTCAGGGATACCCCGTACGTGCAGTACGACGTCTTAGGCACCCTAGATGGACACCGGTCTTAGGCACCCGTGTCCCTATGGACATGGTCATGGTTGAACTTGACTCTACCCCGGAAGGTAAGGCCATCTTCAACCTAAAGAGGGTCTGTGGGCTCAGTGACTTAGTCATCGAGCCCCCGCGCAAATCAGGTGTTGTGGCACAGTGCCACAACTATCAACATTTTGGCCACACGGCCAATAATTGCTTCGCTCACCCTAGGTGCGTCAAATGCACCGGTGATCACGGCACAACCGAGTGCACGAGGCCAAAAGATTGCGCAGATCCACCTGACTGCGTAAACTGGCACGCTACCAGCCACCCGGCTAGTTATAGAGGCTGCGCTAAGGCCCCGAAAACTCCCGCGAGAAAATCTCCCGCGAAATCTATGTTGCCCAAACCCGCGCCCGTTAAATACGTTCCCGCGCCCGTACCCGTCACTAACGCCTGGGCGAAACCCAAGGTGGCCGCGCAGGTAACCACACCGGTAATCCCGGTCGCCTCACGACCGATCGCACAACAAACGGCGCCGCGGCCGCAGGTGCAGCCAACTCCGTCAGTTTTCGCGGAAAACAAGGACGACCCATTCGCACAAATCGCAAACATCTGCAGCCTATTAGATAGGATCAATAGGCAGGAACTCGCCGTATTGTCCGCTAAAATAGCGGCCGCGACATCTGGCAACGAGCGTCTTAGGGCAATTAGCCAACATAAAACGCTTGTGGAAGCCCTTTGGGCTTTTACGAGCCAACCGTAAAAGACAATAGTCCGCGCAATAAAACCGCGCTCCGCCGCGTCGTTAATTAGACCCATAAAAACACCTTAATGGGAAGTACAACCGCAGGTAGAACACAAAACCTCGGGCTCTGGTTGTTTCGTATTTCAACGCAAACGGCATAAAGGGTCAAAGGGACGAAATCGCGGAATTCCTTCGCGACTACAACGTAGATATTTTTCTAGTGCAAGAGACATTCTTGAAACCTAGTGTACGCGATCCCAGAATCGCAAATTATAATATTGTCCGCCACGACCGGTTAGCAAACCGTCTGGGAGGCACATTAATTTATTATAAACGGTCCTTGCACTGTTGCCCGCTCGACATTCCAGAGCTAAGTCAAATAGAGGCATCCGCGTGTAGGTTAACGCTCACCGGCCACAGGCCGCTTGTACTAGTCTCAGCCTACCTCTCGGGGAATAGAACCTTACTTCAAAGCGACCTAGATACGCTTCTTAACTTAGGCCCTTCCGTGATAATTGCAGGAGATCTAAACTGCAAACACGGCTCATGGGACACCAACAGCATCCCAAATAACAACGGAAAGCATCTCTTTAGCTTATCCGATAACCTCAACTTTAGCATAGTCGCTCCCGCGACTCCCACTAGGTATCCTACGGTGGACAACTACCAACACGCGTCACCGAGTGTCCTAGACATCATGTTATTCAGGGAGGTCTCGCTCGACATCGAGTCGATAGAGACAATCCATGAACTAGACTCAGACCACAGGCCCGTCCTGTGTAAATTGGGCCAGAACGCCGGCGCGGTCCCTCCGACCAAATCCGTAGTGGACTGGCATCGTCTTGAGGTCAAACTCAAGGCCTTGGACCCCCAGGACTTAGTAGACTTACCCGAGACGATAGCTACGTTCGATGACGCAAATCGAGCGATAGCGAGTCTCCGAGAAACTATTACTTCCGCAGTCACAGACTCGGAACGGACGGTGAAACTGTCGGGCGACCGACGGTTTAACTTTCCGCCCGGCCTAAGACTGCTAATTAGACAGAAAAATGCAGCCAAACGCGCCTTCGACCGATACCGATCGGAATTGAACCGAACCCTACTTCGACGCCTTCAGCTAGAAGTCAAAGATCGTGTATCGGAACACCGACACACAACGTGGGACACTCTCCTAGAGAACATCGAGCCATCGCACACCGCCTACTGGCGGTTGGCCCGCAGTCTGAAAGCAGACCCCCGCGAATCTCTACCGCCGTTAGTTAGACCTAATAGCGCTTCAGTACCCCTAGATGACTCCGAAAAAGCCGAATGCCTTGCGGACAACCTAGAGCAGCAATGTACGCTATCGCGCGAACACACCGATTCAGTCCACCTAACGGAGGTGGACCACGTAATCGAGACTAGGGCTGCGCTTCCACCGGAAGGCGAACCTTTAAATTCAGTGACCCCCGAAGAGGTTCAAGATATTATTAAAAATTTAAAACCAAAATCCGCCCCGGGCCCAGATAATATAAGTAATAAAATTCTCAAAGCTCTCCCTGGGCCGCTTATCTGTTTACTGGCGACCATTTTCAATACCCTTCTCTCCAGTTGCTCCTTTCCGGACGACTGGAAGCAAGCCACGGTTATCGGCATTCGCAAGCCGAATAAACCAGCTAATCAGCCCTCTAGCTATCGTCCCATCAGCCTCCTCAGTTGCCTCAGGAAGCTCTACGAGCGGCTCTTGTTAAACAGGCTCAAAGAGCACGTATTTTCCAACGGCCTTCTGCCGACGGAACAATTCGGCTTTCGAGCTAGACACTCATGTCCCGACCAGTTATACCGCCTAACGGAGCACATCCTAAAAGGCCTAAACCACCCCAAACACATCAGCACAGGGGTTCTCTTTTTCGATGTCGCAAAAGCATTCGACAAAGTCTGGCACAACGGCTTGCTTTACAAGCTGTACACACTCAAAGTGCCAGATAGGCTCGTACACACCATCCGGGCCTTTTTGTTGAATCGCTCTTTTCGATATCGAGTCGAGGGCACCCTCTCCACAAGCCGCCGCCTCACGGCCGGCGAACCACAAGGCTCCTGCCTCTCACCTTTGCTCTTTACGCTCTACACGAGTGACATACCCAAAGACCCCCACGTCAATCTCGCGCTTTATGGCCAACCGCTCCCCTGGGAGAAAAAGGTCAAATACTTAGGAGTCACTTTCGACTCGCGTATGTCATTTACTACGCACATTAATAACGTTCGTAATAGAGCCGCGTTCGTCTCCGGCCGGCTACACAATTTAACTAATGCTAAAAGTAAAATGCCCTTAAGGCACAAATTATTATAATATAAGACCTGCGTACGACCTATTATGTCTTACGCATGCATGACCTTCGCCCACACGCACCCTACTCGCTTGTACAAGTTACAAATAGTACAAAATAAGTTTATCCGCCGCGCAACCGGTGCGCAGTGGTATCAGCGCAAGGTCGACCTGCACAGCGATTGCAGACTCCCGACGATTCGCGCACATTTTAAAGATTTGACAAAACGGTTCTTCGATAGAGTCCAGCATCATCCCAACCCTCTGGTGGTAAGCGCAGCAAACTACCAACCGGACACTAACGCGAACGTAAACAAGCGTCGCCCGCGAAACGTCCTCATCGACCCGGTCGACGAAGAGGACTTAGATACGATGGACCCGCCGCCGGGGGTCCCGCCGGATAACACTACACCCACAGTTAGTGTAACAACAATCACACCAGTTCGCCCTCGCCTCCGAGCACGGCGAGACCCACACAACGCGTACACAAGGTACACCCGCGTTCCGGGGCGGTTTTCACCGCTCCCAGCCACCGATTAGCTAAATGCACAGTCGACGGCCGTCGGGGTCTCGGTCCGAACCGCGACCTCGACGGCCCTTAGATGACACACCATAATTAAACGCACGCATGAGCACATGCGCGACCCTACCCATAGCGGAGGGTCCAAACCCGTGGGTTCTGGCTAGCCCACCGGTTCTGCGTCCGATGAAGCTTTAATAGTCTCGGGACTGAAAGCAAAAACATCAGTTAATACAAGATAATACACTACGCACTTGCTTTTCTGCCGCAAATCTCCCTCAAATAAAATGTTCTCTATCTAAAAATAATAAATATTGCAATGAGACATTTTCTTTTTAATCTTGCGATTATATTAAAGTCGGGTAAGACAGAGAATGAATGTAAGAAATGTAAGAAGTTATATAGGTAGGTATTGGTACTTGTTTGGCGTAAAGACATGAATTGATAACGGTTTACTTAATTAATTTGGAATTATTAGTAAATGTAAAAAAAGTTATTATTGGTTGCAAAGCTTTTAATTGGTTACCTAACCGTCATGTCGCTTTTTGAGTAACAAACAAATAACGCAAGCCAAATTTCCAATAATTTTGCACTTTGCAAACAGATGGTTAGAGATTTTTTTTATGGACTTAATACCTATTTAGTTTATGAACAATTACGGTAACAAGCAAACAAAATAATTCTCCATGCATTTTATCACTTTTGTTAGAAAATAATAAAAACCGGTCTGGTATGTGTACAACTAAACCCTTCGCCGTATTTGCAACAGATTCCCACTCTTCGGTCGCAATAAAATATCCATTTGTAAGGTCATCTTGTCGGCCTCCGAAAGAAACTCGTACTCGGTCAAGCAATGCACCAGTATCGTCTTAATGAAGTTCATGGCGAAACGTCTGCCTGTAATATCAAAATACCGTGAATTATTCTCCTGAGTACAAGTTGAATTACGAACAGATTTTAATGGTGCCCTTGCCTATGCAAATCCGCTTGCCAACGCTGAAATTCAGCAAGGCGTTGACATGTTTAGAGGCCGTCGAAGGGTCCAGCCATCGCTCGGGCTTGTACAGCAGGGCGTCAGGGCCCCAAATGTGCTTTGAGCGCCCGCTGCCCCAAATATTGAAAATGCACGTCGTTCCCTTAGGGATTGTACAGGAATCTGTCAATTATATCACAAATTATTTTCAAGAAAAGTTGTTATTAACAAGACTGCGGAAATCATATATAATTAGACTTATCTCCTTTTAGTTTAGCGGTGATAGATCCATTTTAGTGGACGCGCTATGGGCATCATATATATGGCATATGATCCTTCATATGCCATACAGTACCTAGCAGTGAGGACACTGCATATATGGTATGTCGTGTCCTCACTGCTAAGTTGTCAGGGTTCAGAAGGACCCTATCTTTTTGAAGATATAACACAAAATAAGGAGTTGACGACACACACTATCACAAGATTTGTTTTATGTAAGAACCTCATTTAATTAAGTGATAACTTCCACACATGGAAATTTACAACACCCTTAGGGTGAGATATGCTTTTGGAGATTGTGGTACTTTCCCTTTCGGACCTGTCTGTTTGTGCAACAACTGTCCAAGACTGTGCAAGACTGTTCCCTCGCCCTACCGCAGTTAAAAAAGAGTTTAGGATTTTCAAGAAGAAAGACAAGAAAATTTGGATTTGAGTTTAGTTTCAGCCATGAATTAATTTTTTTTGTTACTAAGCAGAAAAATACTTCAATGACGTTTCTGTCGTTCGAACAGGTATTAAAGGATTGTTGAAAAATGTAAAAAAATCGTCTTCAACAATATAGTAAGACTATAAAATAATTAATAAATAATTAATAATTATCATAAATTATTCTAAAAAAGATATTGTCGGCTCATGATCAGTTTTAATGAGGAGCAATTAATTATGATAATTGAGTAGGTACGTATATACAATTATGCAAATCCTTTTTTTTTATGTGTGCGTATATTGCATCTTTAAGGGATCTAAAATAATAGTATATACTCGTAAGGCAAAACGATTATATAGTATATTAGGCTACGCCCGGTTTCTGAAACATTGATCATCGTATAATTTAACAAATCAGTTTGTCAAATGGCTTTTCAAATGTAATTTGATTTGCCAAAAATATGAACCAAAAGATGAACCTTTTGAATTGGTCATTCTGATCATTAAGAAGATCATTCTGATCAATTCAGATAGTTTAACCATTCTTTTGGCAACTTAAATAGCCTTTGAAAAGCCATTTGACAGCAGATTAGTTAACTTCTACGATGATAAGTGTTTGTAAGACTGGGCGTTATTGTTGGACAATTAATTAGCGCTCCGCGTCAACTCACTGAGCTCAACGTCGTGGTCCACGTAACGCAGGACGCCCGGCACCGGCGGGTACAAACGCAACGTCTCGTGGATGACGGCCTCGCAATAGACCAAGCGGCCGAGGTCTTCCTTTGATACAGGGCGCCTTGTGTCACCAAACACGTGGCGGATTCTAAAAGGCAAACCGGCTGACGAAGTTAAAACAACGACAATATATGCAACGCTGGAATTCTTATTGTTAAAATTACTAAGTACATTATTAGTTTGTTTTATTGCTTATCGGGATGCCGGCAATGTATGAACAAAACATGATAAAATTTTACCAATACAGACGATTAAAAGTTCGTTCAATTAGCAGCATTGGTGCATTGCGTTATAAGGAATGACAACATTCAAGACCTACCTATAGGACATTGAAACCAAAGAAGTAATGGGCAAACAGAAAATGCACAAACGATACGAATAAGAATAATCTTCGGCTTAGGTAAGCCCGATAAAAGTAATTAGGATTATTATGATATATTTTAATTTCCCTCATGAGACAACACAACACTGAGACCGAAAACGACTCCTATTTTTGCTGAACCATCCCCCGCTTCCAAAAACATAACAGATATTGGTCGCTAACTATTATTTAGCGCGAGGAAAGCAGTATTACAACAAATCTCAACTATAATAAAACTTTTCAGAATGAACTTACTCCTCATACAATTTCCTCTGAACGTCCGGTCTACATCCGAGTAGAAGGAATATGAAATTAACAGTAGACGCTGCCGTCTCCTGGCCCGCCAGTAGAATTGTAGTCACTTCGTGTTTGATCTGCTCTTCTGTCAGTGTGGGATCCGTTTCCCTCATCTCCAAAAGAATGTCAAGGAACGACTTCATCGAACCCTTCTCTGAACCTATAAGTACTTTTAGATTTTATTCCCACAGCTTAAATATGAGTTGTTGAATTGGCAAAATAGCTAGTAGCTGTTGTAGTAGTTATTCTCAAAGTTATAAAAACAATATATGTATAAGTTAGATTCATTAAGTGTGTATTAATCAAGTTATAAATTTTAGTTTATCACATCTATCATAATTTTTGAGATCCATACTTATAACTATTGTACATTCACTTACCCTGACTTCTATCTATTCTCCTATCTACATTTCCTTTTCTTTCCGCGTCGCATACTCTTTGTCTTAAAACCTGGAATGAACTTACATTTATAACAACGATAATTAAATCTCTGGGCGTACTCAGAGATTGGCAATATTCATCAGAAAGCTGGCGTGGAAGATAAAAAGGTCTGTGCTGCGTTAGTTAAAACTAGGTAGCCAGAAGATTGATACCATAAGGAATAACATATTTAGAGATATATTCAACGAAAAGTGCCACACACGTACACAGCCAGTGTAGAGTAGTATATTACATCTGAGTACCTCACGACTTGATTTGTCTATAACGTCATCAAAGATCTTGTCACTCACTTTTTCCGTAATACCGCAGACGATCCTTGCGCACATTTCGAACTCTCTGTAAGCCGGTGTCAACCGATACACAGCTTCGGAGTGTAGGAAAATGTTCGTTGTTCGGTCTACAACCAGCTCCAATGCTCGAATGAATGCACGAGTGAACTTCTCATCTATTATGACATTGTCAACGGCTACACCGAGGGCGGTTTCTATAAAACGACGAAACTTATAAATGCTCGCTTTATAAACAGGTGTTTACAAAATTGGCATTTAAACTGCGTTACTAAGTTACACCTTCGCTCCAGGCTCACTCAAGTGGACTTCGGTACATTGTAAACAGGTTTCTTTGTCAAATATCGAAACAAAAAATAATGTATTGCTCTGGTTTAGCGAACATTCCTCAATTATCATATCCATTCTATTAGAAAGCCTGTTTGGTGAAGTAATAACTTACGGGAAACAGCTCTGAGGATTACGTTAGTGAGGTACTTGTGTTGCATTTCGAATGGCCCGCTATCAACTTCAGTCTCCAGACTTATGATTAACTTTCTGGACTGATCGTTGAATATCACCTGAAACGCATCAACGGTGCTCGGTCTGAATGCACTGCCGAGCTTCTTTATATTGTTCTTCCAAATGGTGCCTAAAAATATACTCTTATTGGATTTTCTATTTGTGAGCTCAGTGGTTAGGTGCTCGCTTATGACTCAATACGTTCATATAACCTAAGCCGGTTTTCCCGTTGTCGACAGCAATGAAATTGTCAATTGTAATTTTAAGTGCTGACCTATCACGTGCTCAACGATGAACGGAAACGGCATAAGAGAATGAAGGAGAACATAATGAGACTCTCGGGATCCAAGTTCTTACTACTTCATTTGTAGTGCTCATAATTTATATCGGCAAACAATGAATTTGGATGCATGCGTATCTAACATGGATTTGTCCAATAATTAACACAACAAACGCACTTGCTGGTGTCACGGTAATAAAAAAGTACATAAAGAAAATCAACACAAAAATTATAACTCTTTACTTTTTGATAATTTTAGTTTTCACTATCTTGGCAAAGAGCACAAAAACTCATCAAATTTCTAGCTCAGATTGGTGAAAGGCATAGTAAGGTGATTCAAGGCACATAATGCATGAATTTGATATAATGAATTGTAACCAATCCGTTTAACTACTTACCGGGCGCAGCTATAAGGCTGTAGCCTATCATTTTGTGTGTGAAATCATAAATATAAGCTTTGTCTAAATTGGTAGACGATACAGCCCGCACTTCTTCTGGATCTGAAAGGACTTTAGAGAAGAAATTTAATACATTATAAGTATAAGGTAACACATCTCAGTTACTAGCATGATCTTATATACGGGTCTTGCAATTTAGCATAATTCTAATAATAGGGTGACTTCGTTATCTCTCGCTAGCGGCTTGGCTCCTTTAGGGGCCCAAGGTTGCAAGAACCGTTTTAAAAATAAATTGTCGTTTTCAATAAGCAAGCTCAACATACCCACGTTAAATTACCCTGTTTTAAAGATGTTGTACCAGTTTATAGTTTTTAAATTAAATTGGTATGAACAAAAATATGAAAATTCGGTAATTTTTTTTATTTATAAGTCGTTTGTACTTCGATGCAGTTTGTGTGTCCGTCGGTGTAATTAACTTTAAATGTTATCAAGAAATACGTAACTAGTGGGGTATGGCATTGATAAGGAAATTGCCGAAGGTAGTAATTTTATTTTAAAGAAAATAGTTCGTTTAATTTAAAACTTACCCACGAAATATTTGGTACCAAGCCATCCCACAAATGGCAGTTTTGTTGTTTCAATAATCTCAGAGACCTCATCATAATATTTTAACAAATCTAAAATCAGAGAGAAATGATTAATGGCTTAAAATGAAACCATGAATGGGTCGACCAAGCCATCAGTACGTCACACATTCAACTCGTCCACAGACATCTAAAATGTCCGTTTGGTTTTAGGTAGGCCATATTTTCCTAACTGGCACAGATTGATGCAAATGACACCTTTTTAGGGTTCCCTACCCAAAGGGTAAAACGGGAGACCTATTACTAGGCTTCACTGTCTGTCTATCTGTCCGTCTATTCGTCTTATTTGGGGAATATTTCGGCACAATCATTCAACCTTTGACTATTTACTTGTCATCAAACCATTCAACAGCAGAAACTACAACGTGGCTAAACTAAGGCGATTAAAAAGTATTGACAACGTTCCAGCCTGGCAGTGCTTTTAATATTGCACACGATGCCTGGACAGAGAGAGAACTAATTTTTATCTTGGTAATGAAGCCTCAAACTCCACCCTGTTTAATATAGCTAATCCAACGATATGATAACTGTTCGCTTATAAAAAAGGGCAAATTTACTGCTTCTGTCTCTGAGAAACTTGTGCGCGTTGCCGATGAATGGAAGGGTGGTCCAGGTGGGCAAGTGCACCAGCATCCTGCGCTCTCGTCGAGTAAGCAATGACTGATAGAGATGCAGGCATACCAGCGCAGCCAAGAGTAACGCAGCCCAATACATCTGCATAAAAGTTGGTATTACAATATCATTGCTCATTTATAAAGGCCGCAAATACAAATTCAAATCAAATTCAAATCATTTATTCATCGAAATAAGAAATATAAATTTCATTTATCGATAGTCATGTTTTTTAAATCTACTACCGTTTCGTAATGAGGTTCCTCTATCGGAGAAGAAACAGGCGAAGGAAACTCCGTAGGTATCCTCTTTTTTGTCATTTTTTTTCTCAACAAATACATTGTTATACAGTACATTTCTTAACAGCTTAAGCTTAGACTTAAACAGCTTAGGAGCGATCATCTCATTCCCAGGGGTTATTATCGTTAATGTATTCATTTATATTATAATGACCCTTTTTAAAAAGTTTTTCTTTAATAAATTTCTTAAACCTGTTAATAGATAGGCTTTGCACATTAACTGGGATTTTGTTGTAGCAGCGTATACACCGTCCCATGAACGAGTTACTGACTCTATGGAAAATTCCCTGGCTATTAGAATTTTATAATATTTTGTTTGTGTTTGCGTCGATATTCATGTAACTTTATCAATGAGTGCTCAAATTGGCAAATGAGACGAACAAACTTTAACTTGTGAGATAGGGCCCACTTTATTAAAAGATGGCAACACATCTGCAACCCTCCGGGTTACCACTTAACATCAGGCGAACCACCTGCTCGCTTGTCACGTTCTCACTTAAAAACACATATACCTATTTAACTATGTCTATCTTATTACGTATGGAAAAATTCTCTGTCATAGTGTTCGTTCGCGATGGACTCCGAAATTACTGAACCGATTTTAATAAGTTTTCTTTCATTTTACAAGATTTGTAACAACTTAAGACATAGGATAAGATAATCGACCGTGGGCTGGCCATATAACTCGTAAACCGATAACCGTTGGGGAAGAAAGGTTCTCGAGCCGCTGCCTCGTACTGGCCATCGCATTGTAGGACGACCCCCTATTGTAGATTGAGGGATGACCTGTGCAAACAGGGCCAGATTTAGAGGTCTGGAGGCCTCGGGGCAACAAAGGAGTGGAGGTATTGATTTCTGTTAATATTTAATATAATCATGTTTGTACAAAGTAAAGTGCAAGTAAAAGTAAAACGCGAAAAAAATATGAAAGGAAAAGTTGTTTACTATTGTTTATTGGTCTGAATGTGAATATTTTTTCCGAAGTCTCTATTGTAGTCTCTACCCCTTATCTGTGGAGGCCCTGGGGCTGTTGTCCCGGCTGCCCTGCCCCTAAATCCGGCCCTGTGTGCAAATGTACGGGAAGTCGGTGGATGCAGGTGGCTCAGGATCGTCAGATCGTCGATTCGCGGCAGTCTATGGGGGAGGTCTGTATTCAGCAGTGGACTCAAACAGGCTGAAATGATGATGATGATGAGGACATGGGATATATTATAACAACCTCAATTTATTAATTAATTGTTTGCACGAGTTCAATGGCACTGTAATTGTATTGACTTCTGTCACCTCTATTCCCTGCGTTGGAGCTTGATGCGTGTGACAGCTCTCAAATACACCTAATAAGTTCCGTAATTTGTGACACGTAAAATTTTCCATTAGTTTTTTGACTTAACAAAAAATTTTATACGGTACAGAAAAATCACTAATGAAATAATCAACAAGTTGAATTCTTAATTCTCCGTACGCTTATAGTTTTCGAGAAAAAAAAATTAAAACTTGTTATTTTCACTAAAAAAGAAGCCATTTTTTGTTGACAACGTGTCTTATTATACACTTATTACTTCATTATTAAATTTGACTCTTCCATGCCTCGCCAGGTTCTAGCTCCGCCTTTTTATTCACTCTAGGTGTATAAAGTTTATTCACATTTTGTAAATGAAATTTATAAAAATGTACTCATTTTTGTAGCATGAAGGTTTTTCTTTTTTGTTACGCACGCTATGAAGTACCTAATGACTACATCTGATTATACATCTTAATATGCAATATAATTTGTTAAAACCAAGGTCACTTTTGTTAGATAACTACCTAAAGTAAGTAATTTACTCAAACAGGTAATTAAACTCATATATGACGTGATGGTAGAAGTCTAAATGATTACCTCGCTAACTAAGTACTTAAATATATGACACAAATAATTGTGTCTTTAATTGGTTGTTATCCAAAAATATCTGGGTGTAGGTACTCTGCGTCTGTGAACTTATGCTATAGGTGTAGAACTCTTATTATTCCTAAGCTTGGGTATTTTATTTCAAAGAAACAAAATTATTACGCCCGGTTTCTGAAACACTGATCATCGTAGATGTCAACTAATCAGCTGTCTGACTAGAATGATCTTCTTTAAGATCATAATGATCAATTCAAAGAGTTTGACCATCCTTTTGGAAACTAAAATGAAATTTGAAATCCATTTGACAGCTGATTAGTTGACATCTACGATGATCAGTGTTTCAGAAACCGGGCGTTAATGTTTCAGAACACATTTCTACACAATGCATTGCTTAGTTTGGGCCTAGCCAAAATAAGCAATGCTTGTACTATGGGTACAAGATTACTGATTAACATACTTAAACATACTTATCTTTTGTAAATAAACACATCTTATACATATATAAACCCAGACACTAGGAAAGCACTATGTTCATCACACAATATTTTTCCAGTAGTGGGGAGTGAAGCCACACCCTTTGGCGCAGGAGGCAGGTACCACTACGCCGTTCGGGTCGTCAATATAACAGAAAAATAGCCAATCATCGATATTTTTTGATCTTGAAATGCGAAAACTAAGTAAAGTACTAAGTCATAAGCAATCATATTTTTTTAATAAGCGCAGTAATTACAGTCCATTTACAAATCGCCTATTGCGATGTATAAGTCTCCTTTAGGCAGGAAGTACCTACTGTGAAACATCAAGTGGAAACCCATATGTTTAGAAGTTTCTAAATTATGGAGAAATATTATATCCGGAATTATTGGTGGAAATGGTATTTTTTGAAGATATGCAAGATTCGCATATAGAAATAAAGTATTATAAAGTACACATACAAAAATAAACTTGTATATATACAAAGCTTAACCAGCAAAAAGTGACTTTTGTTAACCTTACCTTGCAAATTAAATTCCACGTTAATCAACAGTTTAAACCCACATATACCTACATTTAAAAATAGAAGCAATGATCACAAGGTAACAAACAAATAAATTAAACAACATCATAACCTTCGTATTGTACTTTTTTTGGTAAATAAATTTATTTTCTTTAATTTTTTCTTTACTTAAATTAAATTCTTTCAGAATATAAAAATATTAATATGTTTTTTCAAATGCTTACATTTTTCGCCTTTCCTCCCGAAACAACCGAAGGACAACAAACAGTACTATATGAGATTCGCGTCGTATTTACGATGGATACAGACGTAACGTTTGTCTAAATAAAGCAACAAAAGTTTTTGCTACGCCATTTCGGAAAGTAGGAGGGGGATTCTCGACCCCAAAGCGGAAAAACGATACGGCAATGTGGACAAGCTCGAGAATACAGTTATCAATTTGCAAAAAAAAAAAGCGAGACTTCAATTTGCCGTCAGTTTTTTTTTAATGTGAGAAGGTGGCGAGCGAGCTAGCGGTTAACCGCTAGCTCGCTCGCCACTATACGTTATAACGTATACGTAAGTAATAACCGCCGCCCATGGACGCTTACA